TGCTAACAGCTACGGAGGCTCGTAGTAGGAGCTATCATACTGTCGGTGTCAGATACTGGGTACATGCAGTAGCTTCGGCAAATAGTGGAGCGTATTCCCTCCCACATGGTTTGCGCAGGACGTGATACTCATATTGTTGGACGTTGCACTCAGACCTGATAATGGTTGGGTGTTGTAGCAATCCTGGTTACGTTCTAGGTAACAACTTGAAAAATGTGAAATATCATGTTGTTGTCTGGATATGTGAGAGAGATAGACATGCACCCAGAGATGGGATTTTGATTTATTAGTGCTGCTACATTGCAGCAAGGTTCTTGAAAATTGTGAACACAAATTATATTTCGATATTCAGAATCGGCTATTCTCGTGTACCAATGGGTGCACAACAAGTTCATTTGTGTGTTATCCTCAGCCCATCATGTTTTTTCTTTTTTCTTTTTTCTTTTTTCTTCTCTTTTCTTCTTTTTTTCTTTTTTCTTTTTTTTCTTTTTTGAAGCCACGGAAAGATAAGTCTGAGTGACGTAATTGCCAAGAACCTGAGATCAGAGGGGTAAAGAGCGGCTGAATTCATCTTGGCTGCAGCGAACTAGACTGCATGCGATCTAGCGTCGTGGATATCGCAGCCACCGCCAAGACACCTTGCTGATATGGAGCCACAATGACGTCATACGTGTGAACTTCCCTGTTACACGATGGGACATTTCCTAGGTAGACTACAAGAGAAGTATGATAGGTATGTACTTGGTGGCCGAGGGAGGTTGCTGGATTGCCTGATCGAGCTGTTCCGAGTGGGCAAATACGGGCTGATACAAGCTTGTTGTCAACCAGCTAGATGAGGGGTAGATTTTACCCTTTCTGGTCTTATTTGTTGATTTAGCGTACTCCGTCCGGCCAGTGATGTTCATCCATTTGGAGGTATGGTATGCTTGCTCGTAGCACTGGGCGGGAGAAATCCTTGAAGATGGGGAGATCAGGTCGAGCCTTTGTCTTCGCTGCAGAATATTGTCTGGCTATGATATGATTGTCCTGTGATTCAGAGAATCAGGTTCTCTACCACCCTTCCAACAACGATATTCAGCTCTTGCATAACGGCTGCAATGCCATTTCTGAATTTCTGTTATGTGGACCGCCAGCAGGTTTCGCGGAGCCGAGCAAATATTACTTTTCATAACAATTTTTCATAAATACGAAGAATCCCAAAAAGTAACACAAGAGATAATTTTATAAAACCACTATGTATTTGTTATATGACAGCCAGTGTAGACGGATCTGATGAGAAAGAAGCGACCTTCTTTCTCATATGGCATGTGTGAGAGAGCGTGCTGCTTAGCATCTGAGTAATTCCAATCACAGGCTCTTATCAATCCAAAGCTACTGTTTCAATCAGAAGAAGTCACCGATAATGAATCCACCACCTGATTTTAACCAGAGATTCTAAAACCCAAGTGAGGGAACTTTATTCCATCATGAGTAAAGGGTCGTATGACGATACACATATGAGAATAAATTCAATAATTGTTTGCCAGCGCTGGCAACAGAGGAATGTCGATGTAACATTTTGAAACGGAAGGAAAACTGAATACAGTAATGGATGGACGGTGGTGGTGATGATGTCAACTGGCAGAGAGCTGTGGACTGTACAGAGTACAGTGTAGATTTCGACGAAGACTGAGGGTTGATTGCAGGTGCATTAACCGCCTTGGAAACGGTATGGGCTCTTTGTCTGTCTGGAGTGAGGAGGAAGGTTTGTTGGGTGTGGAGGTGAAATTTCACGCGTCAAGAGGACGTGGTTGGAAAAATTCTGTCCCAAAAACTGTCGGGATACCTCATCGCTTCTCTCCTCTCCACTCCGCCCCACTGCTCCCATGTGGCTTATCCCCGGCATCACCTCTTCCCCACTTTATTTCACAGAGCATTAATGAATAGCAGATGGGGGAGAGGGGAGAGGGGGGAGGGGGGAGGGGGGAGGGATGGCGCGAAATCGAGGGTAAGGCGTCCATTGAATACCTCCGAGCCACTGCGATCTTGTCTTGTCGAATTTCGAATTTCTTCGGAATTCGAACGATGATGCACGCATCCAGACTTGTGCCACACCCTGTGGATATGGGTCGGGTATTTCCGGAAACCAACAATGCTATTAATTCTGTCGATTTGTCGCGAATCGCGACGGCGTTAGTACCAGAGTGGAGATCTCGGAAACATAAATTAAAGATAGAGGAGGAACGGACAAGGCGAAGGAGAAGTTGTCCGGCCGGGCGGAAGTTGATCACTCAAGGGTGCCACCGCTGCAAGCCTTCATCAAAGTCTTCCGCAATGAAAACGCTACTGGGAGGCTGTTCCATTCCTGGTATCGATGGCCGAAAGATATGCTCTCAGCCCTGTCGTGGGTCAACACGAATGAAACAGAACCTTGCAAGAACTTGAAGGTTTGTGAAAGCACGCAAGTTTGCTTCGGTTAAAAACGCGATTCTTGATTTCAATGTGAATATCAAATGTCTTCACTATGAAATCTAGCTATAGAATTAGCGAGTCTATAGTTATATAAGCTGTGCAAGACCCCTGATTGTACTTTTTAAGGAGAATTATCATTACTACTCCCTACTAGTACTTCCTTTGAAAGGTTTTCCACGGCTTTATATGCCATGGATATGCAATTAGCAGCGCTTGCGAAATAAATGATGAATGCAATTGAGACGAATATACATAAAAACGCGTAGAGGAGCAGTCCAGTGAGAAAGGACATGTTCAGCCTAATCACCCATCTATGGAGCAGCGCTGACTCCCTCACACGGATGTATTATCGATCTGGATTCATTAACAGGGGAATAATTCGATTCGGTAATGAGTTCATTGCTGCACCTACCGGGTTCCATATAGGGGTCCATCTTCGATATCCGCGTAGCATAGAACACGGCGGCTTTGTCATTGACGGTGATCGATTAAATACTTCGACGTTTGAGCCTTGTCAGACTTATCATAAATATACTGCCTGGGATGTGAAGAGCGATTTTTGAGCAATTTGCTAGCGTCCCCAGAACAATGTATCATGAAGAGTTGGCGGCCAGACCTGAGATTGTCTTTGCCCCCAACGACGTTACAAAGGCGTCTCTTTCTTGATGGACTTCTTGCTCCTGTATTGAGAGTTTCAAAGGTTGTAAATTTGAGAGGCTCGATATTGTCGAAGCATCCCTCGGCATATAAAAACAGATGGCAGATTGAGCTACCAGGCAACCCACCAAGTGATAAATAATGCTCAGTTTCCGGATATCATAGCCTTAGGCCATTTGGAGTTTCCGAAACCTCTTCTATTTCGAGACTCTCCTATCATAGCTGAGTGTTCCAGCATTACGCTTCAACCAGGATGTAGTGTACAATGTATCTGAATTTTCTCTTGCAAGACACCCATGACATAGTCCAAGTGAACGGGGTTTCCACGTTATCCCAACAACTGCTGGTCGGCTCATTAGTTCCAAGATTTCTTTGTATTAAGATTAACGAAGAATAAAGCAATCAAATACTGATACTAACATTGGTAAAATCAGGTGGTAAACAAAAGGCGACAAACTCACCTACGTATCAAGACGCAAAGATGATTAGATTCTTCTTGCTTTTTGGGTGATAATCTCAGATTACTGATATCTTCTTTCATAATGCTGGGAGTCAACACAAGGAGTAGTTAAGGAAATTGGAAGCCAAGTCGCCTGTCTGTTTGCCGAGCGCTTAATTCGAGCATGTGACTACAGCTAGAGCTTTGTTGGCGCCAACCTGCTTAGACGCCTCGAACCTCGATCAACGCAACGTCAGATATTATTATTCGACACCGTACAGGTCCTTTCACCTACAGCTCAACTTCCTGCGGCCAAGTGGACAAGCCTGCACGTCCAGGTACTTGCCATCTACGGGTGCTAGCAGTCATTACAGTGAGGACCGTTATTTGTCGATATTCAGTTGACTATGAACTTTTGCTCAACCATAAAAGGAGAGATAAAACCCCGGATCTTAGAAACCTTTAATGTTTACAACTTCATGCGAGTTTCCTGGCTAAAATAGAGCCCTTTCCTTGTCCACTGTTTTGCGAAAGCCAAGTGCTAGCTACCTCGGTTTCCTCGAACCTCAGCATGCTTGGACCTTCATCCAGGAGCTTGAAATATCTGTCACCTCGCCACCAATTTATCTTTTAATCTAAATACGGCCCCGGTTCTTGTATTTCGTGCGCTTCTACATAATTCGAAATACGACGAATTTTGCTTCTCCAATACCACGTACCAGTCGGGCAAACGAAGCTTCTGTCTCATGTCGCAGATGGGCTTCAAAAGAGCTGTCCAGGACGCATGAATACTTTTTACGCCAGATTCCTGCTGCGACTTCATTTATCCATTCTTTAGTTTTTGCCGCTCAAACGAAGTAATAGCTAGCGGGTAACTCAAAGACACTCACAGGGATGAGACGTCACCTGTGACTTAAGAAAAACGATATTTTATCCGTCCTCCATATGCGAAAGGCTTATCTACAAGCGCCTGGTGTTCTGGCCTGAGATTCATGCTGTAACGGTAGAGCAACGGAAGAGTAAACATGATGTTTAATCATCTAGGACTCTTCAAAAGTGTCCTTTGCCCTGAGGGTGACAACTGTGGGCTTCTAAACTGCATTTTTAATCATACAAGCAACGAATGCATGCCTAGCTCCACTGTTCCTCTACCCGAAACCGAAACCATTCCTCTTGCTGTTTTGGCTGATGACGAACCTCTTCGGAAGCGAAGACGAATTGATGGCGCAGACAAGGATAGAACACCTATTTCATCCAATAGCAAGCATGAGGAACCAAAATGTGAATGCAAAACAACTGAAGTCGTGAAAGAATCGAATGGAAGCTCAAAGCATGAGGAACCAAAATGTGAATGCAAAACAACTGAAGTCGTGAAAGAATCGAATGGAAGCTCAAATCGTCATAGCCAAGAGCTGATATCTGCCACTAGAACCGTTTCTCCACCTGCAGTCTCATGTCGATCAACTTCTGCGAGCACTTCAAGACAAGTCGTCCAGTTCGACTCCGTTTAATGCAGCAAACCCAAACCGAAACAACCCTCTCCAAAGACACTGAAACGGAGCCATTGAACCCGAGGCATATCGCCAGACCTCCAGCATCGCACACCGTTCGCATGTCTATTTTGACCAAGCTTCACGATGCCATGGTCCAGCTCAATAAGCAAGTTATCAAAGAAAATGACCCGTCTAAGAAGGCGCTTATACTGTCGTCTGATGAAGTTGTGACGATGGCGCTGGATGAAGAGGAGAAAGCGGCGAAGGAACATTCTTCGGTATACGCCAACGTGATCAAGCTCCGCATTACGAAGCTCAGGAAAATGGACAGGGAAGAGTGGGAAACTAACGTGTCAACATACATTGTCGCTAAATTTGGTCCGCCAGCAGGGAGCAACAAGCCGGAGGATCCAGACGGGGAAGTAATAACAGGGTTGAGCCCCCAGGAAGAAATATCTCTGCTTCCTAAACTCTATGCGTCGCGAGAACAATTAAACAAAGCTGGATATGTTACCACTGCTCCTACGAGTGATGATATTGAAGCGGCAAAACGTGGTGCCGAGGCAGCTCAAGGATGGGAGCAATGCGAGCGCTGCAATGGCAGGTTTCAGGTCTTCCCAGGCCGAAGGGAGGACGGACTTTTAGCCACAGGAGGACACTGCACGTACCACCACGCGAAGCCACTCCGGCCCCCAAAGAAGAAAACAGACCATATTACTGGGCATAAGGAATCATACTACCCATGCTGCAACGAAACAATTGGGACTTCCGCAGGTTGTACGAAAGCTGAATGGCATGTTTTCAAAGTGTCGGAGGTTAAGCGGCTGGCTGCGGTGCTGCAATACAAAGAAACACCCAGGCAGCCCAATAAACCTACGTTACCCCCCATCTGCTTCGACTGCGAAATGGGCTATACCACTCTAGGTCTTGAACTCATCCGCCTCACGGCCGTCTCCTGGCCCGAAGGAAATAAGGTCCTGGACGTCCTAGTAAAACCGAAAGGTGAAATCTTAGACCTTAACTCCCGCTATTCCGGCGTCCGTCCGGAGCACTTCGCCAACGCCACACCACATTCGCCATCCGACACGAAAGACAAGCCCCATCAACAGCTCCCTGTCGTCGACTCCCCCAGCGCAGCTCGCGACCTCCTCTTCCAATTACTTCAACCCGAAACCCCCCTTATCGGTCACGCACTCGAGAATGACCTCAACGCGTGCCGCATCATCCACCCCACCATCGTCGACACTGCGCTCCTTTACCCGCACCCAGGTGGCCTGCCATACCGCTTTGGCCTGCGGGCGCTCACACGCAAATACCTGAATCGACATATACAGGCTGGCGGTGGAGAGCTGGGTCATGACTCTATGGAAGATGCGAAGGCGACGGGGGATTTGGTTCGGGTTAAGGTTAGGGAGACGTGGAACGCGTTGAAGAGGGTTGGGTATTCATTTGAAAAGGGGAGGTTAGTGGCTCCTCCCGGAGGAGGGATGAAAAATGGCGTTGCCGGGGCGCAAGGGGCAAGCTCCAGCATATTGGGAGGTGGCGGCGGCGGTGTTTTGGGCCATGGAGCCGGGATAAAGCGGAAGGAAGGCGAGTAAAGGCAGTCTGGAAATTTGATTGAGGCCGTTTCTGCTACCGACCTTTTCTAGAATATTTTGCACAACATAGGATACTCTGATACTTGCGTTTCTCGTGCCGGTTTCGGTTTTCCTTTTTTTTTTTTCTTTAACATCTAAATCGCCATCTCTTTTTTTTGTTTTTTTCTTCCTTCCTCCCAGATTTCCAGATTCCACCTAAAGCACTACGTACTGTTACATGAAACTTTTATAATACCAGCAACCTGATATCTGTGCAAGGCAAAGTGCCCATTCATCCTGGCTACGATCGGGCTTGGTGGTTTCTGCTCATCCACCAGGCTTTCCAACATTTCCGCCTGTGGCCTGCCAATGACTTTCGCGTTTACAGAATTTGCGCACGATATAACTAGTACATTCACTAATGTGGATGGTGCAAGTATAAAGTAGTAGGGAATATATTTTTGGTTTCCTGAAGAATCTCCACCGTCATCTAACCGGGGGGAGGGGAAGAATCTTTAAACAGTAGAGAGTTATCATAGACGTTCCTTCATTCCATCAAGAAAACAAAAAAAGAAAAAAAAAAGAAAAAAGAAAATTGAAATCCACTGCTTTAAAAGAAAATTCGACCCCCCCCCCCCCCAACAACTTCCACGCCCTTCATCCTACTTTTCTTTGTTCACTTCCGGGTTGTTTCTTATTATTATTAGATTTTTCTCAAATCTAATCCTCATCCTCCTCCGCCTCGTCGTTGACGAGGTTGTAGAAGCGCAGCTCATAGACACCCTTGGGAGGTGGAGAACAACACGCAGCCAATCGCGGAGCTGCTGCTTCTTGAGAAATTTCTTCGTCCTATACACATTCGCGAGACGGGGGGGAAAAAAAAAATAATTATAATAGTCAGCATCCGCCACGCACGAAAGGATAATCCTTTCCTTTCCAACATAAGCAGGAGAAGCACCCAAAAAAAAAAAGAAAAGAAAAGAAAAAAAAAGAAAGAAACAAAGTCACCGCCGCGTCAGGAGCCGCAACAGCATGCGCGACTTCCGGGGGAATGACGTACAGGTACTTCAAATACCGTCCGGAGAAAGGAATGTGGGTGACGACCTCGATCTTTCCATCGCCGGTCTGGGAGATCTCGACGGAGTCGCCGAGGTTGCCAACGCGGCCCTCAACCTTGACCCGATCGTGCAGGAACTTCTCGAACGCGGATACATCGAAGATCTTGTCGTTAACTGGTTGGGAACAGTTGATGACATACTGATTTTTTTATTGCAATTAGCACAGTTGCGTAGGGGGGGAAATGTCACGGGCCCGGGAGGGATATATATATATATATATATATATATTTGTTCGCGCATACCTTCTTCGTCACCTTTTGAGACTTGCGGGACTATTATATTTCCAACAACGACGCAGCGCATGGGGTTTGCTGGTTAGCCTACTGTTCCTGACATGATCTCTTTTTCTTTTTTTTCGTAATAATGCAGAGATGAAATTTTCGTTTCATCAAATCAATCCCATGACATCCGCTCCATTTTCTCGATCCCTCCTTAATTCTTTCCTCCTAGTCCTTCTCCCAATCCAGTTTCATCCATCGCCTATTCCTTTATAAGGGCGGGATATATAGGATCTGGTAGGAGAAGAGAGTGTGGGAAGAGAAGGAGAAGCGGAAGGACGGAGAACAGGGAGCGGGCAGTCAAAGGGGAACAGCAAAGCGGTTTTGAGGTCGCGAGGAGGGGACGTACAGATTGAGGAGCCATGGTGGACTAATTGAGGGTGAGGAGAAGGTATGCAGCCGCAAAGAGGTCGATATCCTGCGGGATTGATGGTTTTATGTCGGCGCTGGAGCTGGAGCTGGAGCTGGCTTCACTTTTGACTCGGAGGTTGAGATGGTCGAGAAGCCGCTGTGGGATGGGAACTCTTGGCGCTAGGGTTAGGGCTTTGTACAGTCATGTGATACAGGCTTCGGTGCCCAGATCCAAATGGGAGATAAACACAACTGACAACTGACAACTGACGCCCAATACCACAATCGGTTCAGAAGGGGTGGCAGATTTGGGCCGAGGATGTTCTGTACATGTTGCTCCTGCGGTGGATGGAAGTGACTACATTCATGGGCAATGCCATCCCTGTACGACGACATCGCGTCTACGGAAGGTATCTAGCCATTGCTCTGTCTGCTGCTCCTACAAGGAGAGGCCCGGATGCGTGATCGCCCTGAACCGCAGCGCTTACTATATATACTCTTTATGCTCTATTCGGTGGCCTATGTCTACGAAAAAAAGCCCGGCGCCTTATATCCGTTTTGCTCTATCTGGAGATTCCAATCCTTGCTTTGTTACCCGGGATTTCCGTGATTGCGAGTAACCAACCGGCTCATCGGGACAGTGGAACCGAGAACCTAGAGGATATCAAAGCCGTGACAGGGGGTTCAGCTGCGGGAGCGTCAATCATTCTTTTGGGCGACAAGAGCTCCCATCTTCGGGTGCCGTGGCCGAGCCAAAACTATGTACCCAAAAAAAAAAAAAAAAAAAAAAAAAATCCCGGTGTTTGCAGGGGGATAGGAATCGGCAGTCTGCTGCCACCCAAGTCCGACTGATTCTTGAGGTATTCCTTCGACGGGAAGATGCTGTGCCTGCTAGTCGCGAATGGTGTCCCAAGATCTCTCTGGCGACAGCAAACTTTTCGAAGGATACGTTTTCTTCGTGGAGGGAAGGCAGCTGTCGCAACGCAATAACAATAACTGGTCCAAGTAACTAGTGGATTAACTTAACTAAGTTATTTGGAATAAGCTTTGTAAACATAAACTTTTCAGCTTTGTCATGTTTCCGTAACGAAAAATTTGCCGTACCCGGGGAAGCGGTAGTGGGCTGGACCCTGAAAGTCGGAGCAGCCGGTGCAGCCACGAGCGGATGCGCCTCGGGCCAATGCGTCCAGTGTACGGAGTAGTGGATGCAGCACCAGCGAACAACATGCGAAGATGGCGAACGTGGACCGTGTTAGTGTATCAGGAGAACGTAGCACTGTATCAGCATCGATCCTCCGCCGCGACGCCCGTCCATCTCAGTAGTAGTAGTAGTACGTGGGTGATCGCATTCCCGTCTGGAATCCCGGGCACGATGTTGTTGCGCCGAGGCCCAAGGTTTGTCGCTCTTGCCACTGGATTGATATCGATGCCGGGCTTATTTTTAGCACAGCGCCAGTGCAGGCCGAGACAAAGCAAAACATTCCCATTCCCTCCGCGACCTCGTTCTCTGCGCATCCTGTGTATATCCCGTATCCAACAGACCAGTGCTTCAGTGTGCTCCAGCGTGCTCCAGCGTGCTCCAGTGTGCTCCAGTGTGCTCCAGTCTCAAAGAAGTAGAAGCCAGCTAGCTATCTGCGTATACCACTGAGAATCTCGATATCTCGATATCTCTCCCCCAAGTCTCCACAGCCATCCGTGCCATCATCATGGCGTCCGCCACAAGCTTCTATGACTTCAGCCCTGCTGATAGTAGGTCATGATCCATCCAACCCAAACCTCCTCCACTACCCGGAAAGAAAGACGCAATGAATGAATGAATGAATGAATGAAACCCATTTACCTAACGGGAACACCTCACTAACTGACATCTCGCCAAAAAACACACAGAAAAGGGCGAACCATTCCCCCTCTCCAGCCTCAAAGGCAAGGTTGTCCTCGTCGTCAACACCGCTTCCAAGTGCAGCCTTGCCCCGCAATTCAAGGGCCTCGAGTCCCTCTACCACTCCATCAACGACGCCCACCCAGACAAATTCGCCATCCTCGGCTTCCCCTGCAACCAATTTGCTTCCCAGGACCCAGGCTCCAACGACGAAATCCAAACCTTCTGCGCCGTCAATTACGGCGTCACCTTCCCTATCCTTGCCAAAGTCGACGTGAATGGCGACAAGGCCGAGCCATTGTGGAAGTGGCTGAAGTCCGAGATGCCGGGCTTGATGGGCATGAAGCGCGTCAAGTGGAACTTTGAGAAGTTCTTGGTCAGTGCGGATGGGAAGGTCGTGAATCGCTGGTCCAGTGTGACGAAGCCGGAGTCGTTGAAGGGGGCCATCGAGAAGGAGATTGAGAAATCCAAGAAGGTAGACAGCGCTCCCGCGCTTGAGACTGCGGCGGAGGTTCCCACGGAACCCCAGGCGCAGTAGTGAATATTGCCGCCTCTCTTGGTCGATTTTGAATGAATGGGTGGGGATGGGGTTTGATGATTAATTGATAATTTGGGTGACGAGATTGTGGCATAGCATATGGCGTTTGTCGTCCATTAGTTTGACCTCCCCCCTTTCTTATTTTCGTTGGTTTGTGTTTTTGTACTTTTTTTAGGTTCTTGTTCTTGCTTCGGTTTATAATTATCGATATATATACCTTATTGCCCAGGTTGCGATTAATATTCTACTTTTCAGCCCAAACCCCAAGCTTACTTCAGCTCACGACCAGCTGTTTATCAAGGATTCTTCCCCTGTTGCCCCACTGGTTTATTTTTTCTGTTTACGCTTCTCTTTGGCTGGGAGATGCACTTTTCCTCAACTCTTTCCTTTAATATCCTCCTTTTTTGTTTCGTTTGCCATTCTGCGTTTTTTGCGCTCTTCCTCTCTCTTGGCCCATCCTCAGCTGTTTTGCATGATACCAAAAAGGTAATAAAACAGAACCGTTGTATTTTAATTAGCCATCGAAACGTTAATGGTAGTTTTTTTTTTAAATTTTTATGCGTCGTTTCGGCTCTCTGGAGAGATGAGGAGGAAGGGAAAGGAGAAAGAAGGGGAAAAAAATAAGGGTCTCAACCACCCTATCCATGATTCATGATATGATATATACAGTTAAGGCCCCCACCCGCGCCCTGCATTGAAGGAGAGGTATCTGATCTAGCCCCAAACTTCCCATTCCTTAGCTCTTCTCTTCTCTTCTCCTCTCTTCTCTTCCGTCAGCTCTTGATTTATTTGTGTCCACCCGTTTTGCAATTTCTCCCCTTTTTTATTTCCACCGGCTCATTCATTCTTCCATATCGGCGGCGGCGGCGGCGGGCGGGTTTCTCGGGATCAAATTTCGCAGGGACAGGTCATACACGACGTCCTCGACTTTCTTGACCTGTTGGCATTTGTGATCGAAGCGGTCAGCGCCGTGCATTGCATGTGACATGACATGTCAGGGTATAAACAGGACGAAGGGAAAGAGGGGGGGGGGGGGGGGGGAGGGCAGAGGAAGAGAGAAAAAGAGAATTTTTTTTTTTTATTACGCTGTATTTAATCCCATCGCTCCGCTTGCGCAGGCTATCGTTTTTCAGGTTCAGGAGCTGGAAGCCGGCCTGCAGGTCGGAGACGAACTTGCTGATCTGTAGTGGGCGCGCGTAGTCGCCGAGCGTCACGGAGTTGACGGCTAGCCGGCTCTGTGGGGAAGGGAAAGGAGGGTTGGGGATGGTTTGTCATTAGCGAACCGGCTCGGGAGATGTGAGGAATAGGCACGGGGAGGGAGGGACCACACCAGCTCCTCCACCAGCGATATCAAGGCTTGCAGGTACTCTTCGATGGATAGGTGGAAGGAATCCTGGTCCTTGAGGTTGACGGGGACTAATATATAAGTTTAAGCAAGGTTTAAGAGGCAATCGTTTGGGAAGGGCTTTGTTTTTCTGTGGATTAAAAATAAAGAACAAGAGTGAAATAAAAAAAAAAAAAAAAAAAAAAAAAATCACAACATACCACCCAGAAACTCGCCAACCTCCTCAATGGTCATGAAGCCCTTTGCTTTCTCGGCCCGCGCGTCTCGCAGGCCGCCTAGCCATGCGCAGAACTGGATCGTGAAGACCTGAACCACCCCGCGCCCCTCGAAGAAAATAGGTTACATGTTACATGGGGTATGCATAACACAGACAAATAAAATATACAGTCCAGCCAGAAGGACGGGGGAGCCATACCAGATTCTGCAGCTCCCGGCTCCAGATGTGGTTGTATTTGTAGAAGGGGTGCTGGGCGGCGACGGAGACGAGACGGGCGACATCCTCTTTCTGAGCACGGATTTCCGTGGCTGCTTCGTCGAGGACGGGAGTTACTGAGGTAATTCAGTGAAGGGACGCGGAATGTGCGTGAAGATATATAATATAAAATGGCGAACGGAATCCATGAGAAAATGGAGGTTGGGAGGAGGAGGGAAAAAAAGACGCACACTGGTCCGCTGGAGTTGAATGGGCTCGCGACAAGATGGCTTGGGTTGATCGGCCTGTATTATCATGGATTGGCAACCAGAAGCGGAGCGCCAGGTCAGCAAGATAGATGTAGGTATGCCAGGACACATGGGCATAGCATTAGCCGTTTGGGTGCCCATGCATGATACATGATACGGCGGTCCTCCACCGCGGGGATCAAAGCACGAACCGCGTTTAGACAGTGTCTGAACGATGTCTTGGAGTTCCTAAAGCGAGGCCAATGTAAGTTAACCAATGTAAGAGGGCATCAAACAATGCTGATGCTAATGTATGTACTCTACTGTACAAGGGGCTTACATCGCGAATCTGGCTCTCCTCGTCTATCTTGTCCTGTAGGCTTTGGAAAATGGAGGGGTCAATCATGGTGGCTAGATCTGGGGATATTACGATTTGCTGATGGTAACACAGAACCGGAGGGAATGAAACGAGCGTCTATAGCGATTTTATATGTGGACGGGCGTGAAGATAGGGAACGAGAAGCTGTAACTTGTATATACTGTGTGTTGTTGCTCGAGGTCACGGTTGAGCTTATTTCCGCTTCGGGCGCTGTTTGTCTTGGGAGGCAAACAGCACCACCAACTGATACATTATCACTACCTAGTACTTAACAACTTGACAGCAGATGGCCACTCAAGTCAACCGGGTTGAACAGTGTGCTTGTACATTCCGAGATAAAAACACAGGTTTCTCTTCTCCAGCCCATCGGACAAGCCGGCGGCAAACTGATGAAAAAAAAAGATAAGATGCATTTCGCATCGCTCGGTGGTAGTGTAAGACCGAGGACACGGTGCGGACGACCATGCGCAAGCACAGCGGGCCGAACGCGAGATCCAAAAATGAGATTAATCAATGTTGTATTCCTTAGAATACTTTCAGAGATTAAACTGAAAAGAACAGATACTACACTTGATCTTAGCCTTACGGCAAAGAGAGCTGGAGAAGAAAAGGAGAAGAAAGAAACCAAAGACGGCGGCGGGCGCGACGGGGTATTTATACGGCGGGGAGGGCGCTAGGGCTAGCCGAGATTTAGCGAGCGGCGCTGATTGGCTGGATATCGATCACGTGGTTGTCTTCGGCAAACATGGCAAACAACCTTGGAAGTGGCGGGTGGGAGGCAAGCCATACAGTATACCTGGGCATACCTGGGGCATACCTGGGCACCAGAAACGACCGATGCAATGAAAAGCTGTTGCTACATACGGAGTACATTACGGAGTAGTTACTCAAGATATTATGTAATGCTGCCAGCTAGTTAGTTAACTAACTAACTAGTTATTCCAGCAGTAGTTAGTTACTAGTAACCATTGTATATCCCCCCCAACTCCCCCTCCAGAACATCCACATCCAGCTCCTCCATCACCCCCAACACAACCCCCAGGCTCTCCATGAACCCGTTCACGGCAATCCGCAGCATCCGGTTCGTCGTCGCTCGGTACTCCGTCTGTAGCACTGTCAGCTCCTCCTCGTCGTCGTCTCCATCTCTTGCTTCTGTTCCCCCAGAAGTACCAGCAGTAGCTGTAGCTGTAGCAGTAGCAGTAGTGGTAGCAGTAGTGGTAGCAGTATCAATAGCGCTGGTATCTGCAGAAGGAGTGGCGGGATATGGCGATGGCGAGGGTGGCTGCGGCGGCGGCCGTGTGAGCCGGAACGATCGGTGGACGAGCGGGGAGAGTTCGGCATCGACCTGTAGAGTGCGGAGCGCCGCAGAGGCGAGGCGGTGGGTGGGCAGCGGGAGAGAGATGGTTCTGTAGTATTTTGGGGGTTTACATTAGCTGGGAAGTTTTTTAGGAGAGAGTGTGGGCATCTTTGTGGGGGGGGGGGGGGGGGGGGTAAAGGGATCATCCTACAGGGAGTAAGGAAATTCGGAGTCGAGAGTTGTCATGGTGGGTTGCTAGGATAAATGGACGAGGGAGTTTTTTCTTTTTTCTTTCTTTCTTTTTTCTTTTTTTTCCCCTCTTTTTGAAGATGTTGGTCCGGTGTCGATCTGACTGATAACCGCTTCCTTTGGTTCAAGGGGAGGATTTGATGGGATTTTACATTCGAGAATGTTGTTGGCCCATGCTTGGAGGAGGTCCAAGAAATGACGGGTAGCGAAACTAGTGGTGATGCTTGGGCCGAGCCAATAGGATGCTGTGTCTGCAGAATAATAGTGTCGACCTCTCTTGTAATGCAATGTATGTCAGACCTGCTGCAGGTCTTAGATTAATAAGCCTCCCACCATATAACTGCCCATGTAGCTAGCAATCTTTCAATCAAGCAAGCTTTACACCTTCCACAGGTTATGAGGCCCGTTTTGCACACAAACACTGCCAATTTGGGATTCCTTATCAATATAATCATTATTCAGATCCATTGCTTCATTCAATACATCTTTTCAGCATTAAAATCATCTTATTCTATTCATATTGACATATTTTTAAGATCTTGTATTGATCAACACCACTGCTCATTTAGAAGAAGCTTGCAGAGTGAAATGCACAATGTCGAAAAAGAACTCTCTGATTGATGAAAGAACATCACTGAAAGCTTATATTGACAAAGATCTGATTCAAAAAACTTTTTTAATAAAAAAGGAAAGATTCAAAATAGTGAATTCTAAATCTCATTAAATTACATCACATTACACACTTACAATTTCATATTCTGCCCTTTAATTCAGTAAAAATGAATGATAATATTCTTTCACATTCAAAATCTGTTTATGATTATCTATCAGAAGCATTTGAAAGTTTTTTTAATGAATTTTCTAAATTTTTTAAAATACTATTCTGATTTAAAATTGAATTAAATATAATTTTTAACACAACCAAACTGTCAGCTCAATCTGTTCATTTTATTTGAATTATTTAATAATTTGATAAAATGAGTTTATATTATGACAATGAAGCTCAACATTCTGAGATCTTGCTTTTTAATGATATTATGTCTAATCAGCAGATGCAACATTTTATGATGATATTTATTATTAGTATTATTATTCTTTCATTATACTCATATGCAAGCAGTGCTTATGATGAGTCCTTGTGTAATGTTAAATACAGGCAAGAGTTGGTTATACAAAAGGAATGCTTAGTGTTGAATGATGTCAAGAATATAACAGATACATAGAAAAATTAATGAAAAACAAGATTTGATACTTGTGATACAGGTTTTCAACTCAGAAACAATAAGCTAAATCAGGTAGTAGATCCATCTGAAGGTACCTACTTAGCAAGTTCACATCCCTTTATTTTAGGAGCTGAGAAGTTAGCTTCGGATGTAATGTTGTCCCCTTGTGGGTTTCAAACCCACGCGCCTTGGGTCCCCACGCCAAGGCGCTACCTGGTGGCCGCAGTACCCTTTCGGCCACCGGGGCATCTTGCTGAGGCAGTTGCTACTCAGCAGCGGCGCAGAGGAGGATGGTATATAATGAGAAGTTTTATAAATGAATTTGATTATCTTGCTTGAACCACAAGCTCATAGAATACTAGACAAATGCTGAACTATCAGAGATACTCAGCACACTAAAAATATTGTATGAGAACAGTGATAATTTTGATATTTTATTGATAAAAGATGAATCATTAACTTCTAGAATAGAGAGCCAGCATCTAACTATTCTATATTGACAACAGACAGTCATTCTCCCTCCACTTTATAAGTAAGAGTAGCTGAAGCAACACTGCAGTGATGTCACATAGATTTGCAAGAAGAAATCTACTGATCTCATATAAAAACAAATTCTCATATCTCATCAATCAGATCCTTTTATATTGCATCTGAATGATGTTATAGAGTGATTGAAAACTGGTTCAAACACCTGTGTGACATCATGGAATAGATGGGATTATCCGAAGGGAAGCGATGGGCCGTGCGAAGCCGCCACAGGGCCTTGGCACAACCAAGGGTGTGACACAATTCTTGATGATAGAACCAATCATCACCACCATAAATATCTTGTTAAATGGGTAGGATATGATCGTCCGACCTGGGAACCTGTGTCTGTCATGGAGGACACCGCTGCTCTCTACATCTATGAGTCATCACTCACCTCAGTAAAGGGGGATAATATGACAAGTTATCATTTATTAATAATTAATTTATGCAATCAACTTCTCTTCTACATCTACTCATTTTTATTATTGCACTCTGCATTTATATTATCTTTAATGATTCTTTTATATAATCTCTTCTGCTTCACACTTTACACTTGTGTAGTTTTAACAATTTTTTTGCATAAATTTTAATATTCTTCACTTCATACTTCATTCCATACTTCACTGTGAAATGGCTTTTGATATTTTTCCATTTTAATTTTCTTTTTATAAAAATTCTCTTCATATAATCTTTTTTTCTGATATTTTTTCTCTTTCTTTTCTTAATCAATTCATAATCTGTATTCAGAATAGTGTTAAATCATTAATTAAAGCATGTTCATTACACATTCATCTCTATGAAAAAGAATATTGATTTTATGAATGATAATGAAAAATTGATTATCTATATAATGAAATTTACACTACATTTCTATCAGTCAGACATTGAATTCTTGCAATATCTTACACTCAATACACACTCTGATTTTAATTTTGTCACAGATTTTTTAAAATGATTCAGTATTTATTCTATTTTGAAGAATTGAGCTGCATTCAAATGAATGCTTCAATATTTATAAGATTTGATCAATGAAAATATAACTTTTCACAAAGAGGTTGATATTGAATCTGTAGCATACATTGATGTTGATTGAGCTGATAGAGATTCAGAACTTCAATTAATCATCAATTACATCATTTATATAACAAATGATTCTGTAGTCTGATGCAGTAGTCAGCAAATTAAAATCTTCAAATCATCAACTGAAATCAAATATATCGCATTGTTTGAACCCATTTATAAACTTGTCTATTTATATAAACTTTTAAAAAATGCTGAATTCATTTTATTCTGTCTCAATAATCTGAATGCTAACAACTGTCTAATTCTCACCTCAGACAATGAATTGATTTATACAATTCATATCAATAATAAACCTGCAATAAAGCCCTCTTCTTTTAAAGCAATTTCACATTAATTTAAATATATAAAGATTTAATTTCATCTTCTTCAGAATCTCATTCTCATGAATGAAATATCAGTTCAATACATCTCTTTTATTGAGAATATAACAGATGAATTTATCAAGTCATTTGAAATATTAAAATATACATATTGAAAGAAGATTATTAAGATGAAGAGATAGAAGGATAAAAATGAGTGGATTTCATGACTGGTTTTTTCATTATGTGCTTTTTCCAGTCACTTATGTATCTGTACTTGTTTTGGAGGTGAATTTTGTATGTAGCATTATGTATAGTTACTCTGGTGAGTGGGGGTGTCAGACCTGCTGCAGGTCTTAGATTAATAAGCCTCTCATCATATAACTACCCATGTAGCTAGCAATCCTTCAATCAAGCAAGCTTTACACCTTCCACAATGTATGCTTATTATATCGGTCAGTTTAGATGGAAAGGGTTCTGTTGAATGCTGTTGAACGGGGTGGTAGTTCCAAGGTTGGCGGTTTATTATGCTTTTACGATGCCAGAGAACTCGGGCTGGGTTACTTTTTGCGCTGCCGGAACCTTGAAGGCTTTCCAAGGTTTGCAAGAATTGGAAATCAACAAACTCTGGGGAAACCTTGTGGTATAGCTACTAGCACTGCCACTGCTTGTGATGGCAGTTTTTTCCTCATTGTTAGGTCTAAGAGCATGGTGAACTGTAGGTACGCAAGCAGGTAAAATATACATGCAACCTCGCAGAAGTCGCAACATGACGCGGATGGACTTGAGGGATCACCTCCTTGTCCGTCTACCATTAAAGCTAGTCAGCATATAATAAAATAAAAAGAACTACCTTTACGTCCTTCACTGTACTTGAGAATCCACTGCATCTATCGTATGATTTTGGGCGGCTTGGTTCCCGCCAACGGACAACTTCTGCGACGCCCGATAATAGAGCTTCCGGATGGTATTCGCACTGATGATGCCTATACCACAAGCCCCTCGTGATTCCAAAGCAGTAAGTAATTAGAACTAACACCCGGTGCGGGAGAGATAGACTGTGAAGGTAGCAAGCGGAGCTGCAAAGGCTTTTTCCTTGCGAATGAGCATCTCCATTTCAATTTGCATCTATGTCAATCTGACGACGATATTTCGATAATCTGTTTTAGAATGATATCCCAGCCGAGTTATTTGGATGATTCATCGGAGAAATCGAGGCGCCTGTTTGACATCTGCCATTCCGCAATCGCACTTGTCATATGCATGACATCTTCTCTGATGGTTGGTGAGGTGGAACTCGACGGGAGGGCACATCATCATAGATTCATAAGCTGCGCCTGACAATGCTAACATTAATCCATGGAAATAACAGGTATGGCATCGCAACGCCCAGGCCAGCGGCAACACATAATCGGCCTTCTGGCCACAGTAAATTCATTGTTATTGTTTTGTAACCATCCCAGGGGCTGTTCTTCTGGCAGTCAGCCAGCGACGGGAGGAATTTGTTTGTTTTGGCGGCGCCAAGCCATCAGCCGCCAAAACAGCAAAGGAGGCCGCGCTATCCCCGATCCAGATGCGTTGCCCCGCCAACACAGCTGCGCCAAACCCGATCGGGTGCTTGCCACAACAAGCAGGCGCCGTCCTTATTATGATCGAATATCCCATGTCAGGCAGGATAGAACAACCACAACCGCAACCGCAACCGCAACGACCAAGAGCATTCCTCTGTCTGTCTTCTCTATCTGCGTCCGTCGTCACTCTGCTCAGGCGCTGCTCTCCTTTCCTCCACCGTCTTATCCATACCCAACCTCGTCTGTCTCCTCCCAGTAGCGTCTATACTGGTGGGAATAGCAGAGAGCGGCTGGTTTGGCCATTGTTAGTCCTGTTCGTCGATCCCCTTCCCCATAAAGCAAATCATATCAGAAGTCGTTGGGGATCATGCCCCTCTGACCTACGGACGCCCACCTTATTCTTCCCTCCTCTCCTCTCACGGCCAGGTGTATATTCTTTCTCCGCTGTCGTTAATCTTGCTCTATTGTCATCCTGTTGTATCATTTTTGCGAGTTTTAAAGCCGCAGACACACCACCCACCCATCCATCTGCTAGAACAACAAAAGAAAGAAGAAAGAAGAAAAAGGAAAAGAAGAAATCAAGCAACTGCTATCCTCCCTTAAGTCTCCCTCCCTACGATCAGGATGCCTTCTGTGATGGGATCCTATGGGCAGGTGATTGAGTATATTCAAGGTACCGCCCCATGTTTTGTTCGAAACTGAACATATTGAGATCTCTCATACTCACTTCAGTTTTAAAGACCGGTTGTATCTTGCATCCTATACCCAACCACCCAGCGAAGGCGCTCCGTTCCCGTACCCGGTGCAGCCCAAGTCGCCAAGCAAGCGGTCTTCTAAAGCTGCCCATGGAGGATCTGCAGCGGCCGGTCCCAGAAGCAAACCCCCCGTATACTTCACTGTTGATGATACCCTCCTCTACAACGCCTTCCATGCCGATTTCGGCCCTCTGCACATCGGGCACTTGTACCGTTTTGCCGTCCACTTCCACGAGATACTAGGCGACCCCGCTAACAGCGAGCGCCCGGTGGTCTTCTGGAGCAAACCCGATTCTAGAAGCCGCGCCAATGCCGCTTGCTTGGTTGCGTGCTATATGGTCCTGATTCAATCTTGGCCGCCTCACCTGGCTCTGGCCCCCATTGCACAGGCAGATCCCCCCTATATGCCGTTTAGAGATGCCGGATATAGCCAGGCAGACTTTGTCTTGACTATCCAGGACGTCGTGTATGGCGTGTGGAAAGCTAAGGAGGAAGGGCTCTGTGGGCTGAAGGATTTCAGCCTGGAGGAGTGAGTTTTGTTGTTCCTGGTACTTGTTGTCGTTTGTTGTGGCCCTTCAGTCTAATTGTCTCGATCTTCGTTTAGGTACGAAAAATTTGAGCGGGTAGATATGGGTGACTTCAACTGGATTACTCCGCACTTCCTCGCATTTGCATCTCCCCAGCACCAACAGATCGACCCAATCCCACCCAATACACCGGAATTTGCGGCACTACCTTCAACCATAACGGAAGTTCTGATTTCGGACTTACCAGTCCCCTTCAAGAATGTCCTCTCACACTTTTCATCTCGGAATATCGGTCTGGTCGTCAGATTAAATTCAGAGCTATATAGTCCGTCGCATTTTACGGCGATGGGGATTAGCCATATGGATATGATATTTGAAGACGGGACCTGTCCGCCACTACCTCTGGTCCGGCGGTTCATCAAGATCGCTCACGAGATGATCCATAAGAAGAAAGGAATAGCAGTGCATTGTAAGGCCGGGCTGGGCCGCACCGGCTGCCTGATCGGGGCATATCTGATTTACCGCCATGGCTTCACAGCCAATGAAGTTATTGCTTTCATGCGGTTCATGAGACCGGGTATGGTTGTTGGGCCCCAGCAACATTGGCTTCACCTGAATCAGACCAGCTTCCGGGAATGGTGGTTTGAAGACTGTTTCAAGGAGAAACTCGCGCTGGCAAACCCAACAACTCCCGGTAGAGCCCCCCCAAAACAGCAACGTATCATAAGTACCAATGGGCAAACAGCTACTCCACCACATCCAAGCCAAAAAAGACACGCTCTGGGTGAGATTGATAACAACGAAGCGTCTGCATACGCTGATGATACCCTTCCTGCCCCCACACCAGGGCAACCTCGCAAGTCTCACCGGAAAGACTCAAGGCACCACCCATACGCGCGCGCTGTATCTTCGGGCTTAGGGAGCGAGGCGGGGGTGGAAACAAGTGTTTCGAGGAATGGAACAACGAAGGAGGGCAACCGCCGCAGATTGACAGAACATAATAGTCGTAGCGAGAGTGACGAAGAACTTCAACTGCAAATGCTTGCCAGGCGGGCATCGTCGCGGACGCCAGTATCTCCATCCCAGCAGCGGTCAACGAGTCATTCCGCAACTGTTAGTCTGAGTATTCATGAAGACGTGGAGGACTACGTGGATGCCGTGGTTGTTTCGAGCCAGCCGAAGTCGACGCTTGTTGCGAAAAGTGGGAGTGGGATCTTGGGCGTGGGAAAGGTTCGTGGGAGTCCACGGAGGGGCATAGAGGGCAAGACGGACAAGGGAGTGAGAAAGCATAGCGGGCGGGTTGGGAGTGCCGGTGCGGTGTCTAGGTTGAAGTGATAGGGATAGGGTTGATAGGGGGAGTGGGACTAAGGGGGAGGAGTTATTCATATATATATCAAAGCGTATTTGGGACGCTCACCTTATTTTTTTTTTTTTTTTTTTTTTTTCTTTCTCATGACTATCCGTACAACCCCCGATTCGATGCGTTTGATGAGCCATCCCTTTTTGTCTGTACTCAACATGTTTTTCAGCTGTGTGTCATCTGTACAGGTCATGCGAAATTCTCCCTCTTTTTTTATATTATTTCCCGGCCCCTTGCTTTGATGGCTGCAACTAATTGGCTGCATTTGGTGGCTCGCTGGCAAGGCGTTGTTGTTATTGGAGTTGACGACGCTTTTTCTCTTCATGTTAATATCATAATGTCTGCGCGGGTTCGGTTTGTTGCAATGCCCTTTTCTCATTATATTAAAACTTTGATTTTGTTATTTATTTTTTTTTTTCTCCTGGCTTCTTTCTTCCTTTATTTACTATATAGATCGAAACGGATTATTCTCTTGTGGATTGATTAATGTTTCTTCTTCTCCCCTCAATGTTTGTTTTTGTGCCCCTTCTTCCTTCATTTCCACCTTTCATTCCTGACTATGAGCGTTTTGATTGCGCATTGCTGTTGATGACGACGATGAAGACAGGGATTCGTTATAATGGATGGCTAAAGAAGCGCTTTCGTGGTTTTTCCCTTTTTGTTTGTGAGAGGTAAAGATGGTTCCACCCCTGCATGCATCGTCGTTAAGGCCGATTGATTGTTTGTTTGGACCATGGTAAATCGATCTTTTTTCTAGAAGCGGGTGTATATATCACGAACAATCCATGGATCGGCCTTTTTTTTTTTTTTTTTTTTTTTTTTTTTTTTTTTTTTTTTCCTTATGAGCGCTTTAAGGGCGCGGGTAATTGCTAATCGCTAATACAACAGGGATGGGGAGGAAAGTTGGGTTCTGTCTGCATGTTGGTTTTTGCTCGAAGGGAATTGAAGCTCATGATTTCTCTAAGAATTCTTGTTTTATTCCGTCCCTTTGTTTTTTTTTCTTTTTTCTTTTTTTTTTTATTTTTTTTATTTTTTTTTCTTTCTTTTTTTTTTTATTTATTTTTTTTTATTTATTTTTTTTTTATTTTTTAAACAAAAATTCTGGTCTAAAGTCGTATATATATTCAATGGAATAGTTTTTTTTTTTTTTTTTTTTTGGAAATTGAGGACAAACCGCCCACTGTCAAAGTCTCTCGAGCAAACCGGTTGATTTCTCCCAAAAAATACAAAAGAAATTACAAAAAAGAAATCCAAAAAAAAAACAATTGAAAGGGAAAAAAAAAAGAGGAACGCGAAAGAAATCATCCGACCCATCTACCAAGAACCTTCACCCCCATCATCTCTATCTACACCTTCATCGCCTTCTTTGCCCAGTTTCCAATAGTCCCGTCTCTGCTGAGTCACCGTCGTAACGGATGCATTTCGTCAAATAGTCCTCCCACCCTTCCTGGGAGCCGGACTGAAGGCCCTTCCGCACCGCAGGCGAGCACTGGGTGGTCATGAACCACGCCGCGGAGCCGAAGTCGTGGTCGTCGCTTTTGAGAAGCAGGTCCAGGACCGCGGCAACGTCGCCCTTGACCTTGGCTAGCTCATCTTTGATTTCATCAAGGGAGTCGGCGTACACGGCGTTGTTGTCGGGCATTTGCATGTTTCGAGCTGGAGGTTAGCCGTTAGTTAGCTCGTCCGGTTCTCTCGCTCTTTTTCTCAACCTCCTTTTTTCACATGCTTTCCGTCAGGAAATGTGGGCAGCAAGGGAGAAATGGAGAAAGCTAAAATGTGGAAAAAAAAAAAAAAAAAAGGATTAACAAAACAAAAGAAAACAACATAAAAACATACTCCCCTGCCCTGGCGTCCCAGGGAAATGGTTCCGCCTATACGCAAACTCCGCAGTTTCGAATGCCATCAGACTCAGCAGCGCTACCTTCTCCGCGGGAGATTCGATCTTGTATCTCTTGAATGAATTCAGAATAGGTTCCGCCGCCTGCGATGCGCTGCGACATTCGCCAGCTGCATCTTTGAGGTCGACGCAAGGCTCCTTGGCTGATCTTGGTGCGACGGCCTTTAGGATTTCAATCATTGCATTCGTGTCGCTGCTGTTATTGCTTTTGGAAGCGTCTGTTTGTTGGTCGGCTGGGGCGTCGAAGCAGTCAGCGTGGGCAGTTACGAGGTGGAGGGAGAGGAGGAGAGTCGTCGAGAATAGTTTTAGAAGCATGGTTTATTAGTATTTTTCCTTTCCTATTCTTCGCTTCCAAGCAAGCTGGTTGTTCAATGAGAAGTGATGTTTGTGGAGAATTTTGAGTATATATCGCGAGTGAGGGGCATCTTCTTCAATGGGATCTGCATCTGGGGAAGGAGAAAGATATTTATAAGTTCCCTAGATATTCCATGAAGCACGGGATCGCTGTTGTCGTTGTCACAGAGGGCCTTTTAGAGCGGACAAAGCGCTTCCAAAATTGCCATGCGATGGGGATCTGCCTTGGTGATTTGTCGGATCCCCAGCGTTGTGATAAGCCATTCATTGCACGGTGAGCGCATCCACGCATCTAACTAGTTGTTTCAAAACAGTCGGCATCAGTCGCGGGCGATTGGGCTGCGTTGGTCCAGGGACTAGTTGGCTAGTTAGCCAATGCGCTGCATCATGCAGGGGATATCGCGGGCGGTCCTGGGCTGGGCGTTGCTTATCTTCGAGCGTTGCCCCTTTGGTGGCTTACAACAGGGCTGCATGCGTTCTTTGACATTTGATTCCGTCCTGCCTTTGTTTGAGGAAAAAATTCCCTTTGCCGTTAGACAGCTTTGTTGTCCCGGCCAGACCAGGTCTACACTATTCCCTTTGCTGTTTCATGTGAAAGGATAAAACGATACCAGTAGCTATTATTTCAGCCTTTGCCAGAGACCAACCGAGGCAGGATGTTGAAAGGCATCAAGGCCATTGTTTCATATCTGCGAGAGGAACTGTCATTGCAAATGGCGGAAAACGATATTTCCCCCTTAGACAATAGACCATCCAACTAGTCCAAATCTCAAGTCTCGATTGCGTGCAACATGAATCGAGTGTAAAACAGGTGCATAAGAGAGTGTTTAACCAACATTCCTCCGGACTATATTTACTGATGTTATGAAGTCAAATTTCTGCGCTTTTCATTTTAGTTTCCCACTCCATTTCCTTCTCTTTCTTTGTCCTTTTTAACACTAGGGAAACTTCACAGGGAGGACTTCTTCTCAGTGCTTCCGCCCCATGTTTTTAGTTTAGTTTCACTCTCATTTCCCACTCTTGCTCACGGAGAGAACTTTCACCAACAGACCGAATAGTCGAATAAGTTGACAGAAATAATCGCTACAATCTGTCACAGGCGCCCGACATGAGGCGGGGTGGCCCATATCTTTCTTGGATCGTTCTTGAAGAACACATGTGGAGCTCTGCTCAAGGCACCACTATCTCATCTGACAATGAATATCATACATGGCTCACATATTTGTTATTACCAGCTGAATATCACCAGCTGAACCGCTTGCTACGCCATCGGACGATGGACCAATCAAACAAGCCAGCAGACCAATGATGCCAAAACATTCTTGCCGTCAGGGAAGATATGTCGATTTCTGGCGTAGTTTTCCAGGAGCAGCGACAAATAGCGCTCTCGCTGGTCGGGAAACGCAGTCGTATGGCCTTGTCTTTGCTCTGCATGTCAAAAGCCCCATGTACCATGATAGCGGCTGGATTGAGCCCCTGGATTGAGCAGGGTGGGCAATAATTCAAATGTGGGGCTCATTTTGTCGCACACAAAGACAGCCTTGCTCTCCTTTAAGGACGGGTGATGGCTTCTTCTGATGAGTGGCTCGGCCACCTTTACTAACTACCGAAGAAGCATGCCGGGCATACTTGGGCATCCATGGAGCTTCGATACCAGAAGCTATAACTATGTTTGGATAATAATCAGATATTCAATCTATGTATTATTGCAAGTGGGTTACCGATATACGCACGTGGGACAAGATCGACGACGGGAACCAGTGGCTTTGGACCTTCGCTCTTTGGACTGGAGTACAGACTAAGAGTCCGCGGCACAATTGAAGAAGTTGTATAGAGGATAATCGGTCCTGTGATAACGGTTGGGAAATCAGCGAAGGACCAAAAGAAAGCCGAACATAGATATATGACGTCATTTTGCTGCTGAGGGTTCGGTAAAGTTTCAACGTCTGCCGAGTGCCAAGGCCCTAAAATGATTCACTTTGCCGAAACATGCAAGATGTTGTGCCGAGTTTGATCGATTGTAGTCGGTATGGCTGACGATAACTAACAGCTATGCTTATATGAAGTGATGGGATGTCTGTGGTGGACTTGGGGAGAAGATGTTGTTAGTTTTCATTAGTATCATGCCCAAAATCTTGCTAGTTGGGCGAAGATACAAATGCCGCCTGTCGGTCAACGGCTGGCTTCATGGGGAAAATTTTCAGTTAACTCCGTTAACCCAGCTTTGATGATGAATGGCCATAAATGCGAAGATGGGAATGGAGAGGGAATGAATATGAAACCTCGTAACCGGAATTTCCAAGCTTGCAACTCTCTCCGCCCTAGGACAAGCCGCTAATATTGACCATGGACCCGTCGATGATTCTTGCATGCTAGTTTCGGCATCATGTCGGGGCATGGCAGTTGACTGTGCCAGGGTGGCCACCAGCGTTGCATATCGGCTTTCTCTGAAAATCCATATCTGATACCGATCAATGACGCGTGGGATAGCTTATTGACCATCGCAAACAATATCGTAATTTCGTTATTGGCGGTGCATCATCAGGAGGACAATTAGCTGCAATTGTGCCTCACCGGCAACGGTAAATCTAAAAGCTCAAGGAACTCAACCCTGTCGTTTACTTGGGGTTATTTTCCAAAACACTGTCACCCTTCATGGCACGGATAAACGGTATATCCCTCCGCTCATGATTTTATCTTATGTATGTAAAGGCTAATTGCTGTCATATCCCAGGCTCGAAGACCTATACGGCGATCCAGATCCAGATTTTGAGAAAATGAATTCTCTGGCCTATCCGCTATAGGGAAAGTTTGCTGTCCTACTTTGGAAGTTTGTCCAAATTTGCAGTATCGAATGATGCGTTAATTGAAACGTTAAAAGATCTATCGCACGTCTTTCGGCTGTATGCACCGCAATTGGAAGTACCCCAGAGGAGAGAACAGTACTGTGTAGTAATAGGCAAACGGCAGCCAGGGATTTTGAGTGAAGATAATCTGGCTGAAGATTCACAGGAATGGATTTATGAGCGTCTAGGCTCCAGATGAACTAAGTGAACTAAGTTAATAATACCTGTGATTTATTCAACAATTATGTGATCTGGCAAGTCTACTAGGGAGTGTCGGCTACCAATATTGCAAAATATTTAAATACAGTTGTAGCTAATTGATCGTTTCTGTCATAGGTGGCAAATACTCCGTCTTGGGAGTAAATATACTCAGCCATCCTCCATGCATATGTTTTGGATCTTACAGCAGTATTAGTACAGTTTTGGTCTAACTGACATTTCAAAACGGGCCTAGAGAAAATCTTGATATCAATAACCGATGCCAATTATATTTTCAACCTTTTCGCAATTCAGCCGGCGCACTGCCGTTCAATTTGAAATATCCTGGTTGCAGTTCCCTGAGAAACCCTTCCGGATCATCGTTATATGAGGCGACCCTCAGCCGCTGGACATTGTCCGGGCCATAGCTGGAAATCACATCTTGGAATTGGCTTGCATAGTTCATGAAGAGGTAATTGGTGTGCACGCCGGATTCATTGGCTTCCTCCTTGATTATCTGTATCATGTTGGAGAAAGCCCTGTAGATCGTCTCATCATCCGCTTCATTGGGCCATGAGGCGGAGAGGAGAAGTAGGGTATATGGTCCACCTTCAACTGACAGACCGAATGCGTTTCCCTTCATTTGTGATAACATTGGCTCCGTGACGGTTTGGAAATTGCATTCAACGACGATACCCATGATCGCTCTAAGAGGGTTTATTGTTGCAAGAAATGTATCTGCTACGAACCTCACGAGCCAAGCATCCACTTTAAACGTGTATGTCCAGTGTGTATATCGTGACCCAGGTGGGGTTTCATTCGCCAAAGCTTTTGTTATTTCGGACATGTATTGGACTTTAGACGATTCAAAAACAGCGGGTATGGCTTCCATCTCTGCAAAGATTGGAGGGTATGGAATTCCATCCGCATTCTCCAGGTGCGCTCTGATCCTTTCCGCTTCCTGCGTGACGGTAAAGGCTATGAAACCGTTGTTGCTCCTGGGATCATTGATGATTGCTCTCCCGAGGTTCACGTATGTATCGAGAACAGCCTGTTTGTGATCCATGCTGAACTCTCGCAGCCCTTGCCACATCGGGCCTTGAGGGTATATATTCACGGTGAACCTGGTTACGATTCCAAAATTGTTCCCTCCTCCACATAATGCGAAGAACATCTCTGGTTTCTGAGCATCGATATTAAGAATCCCACCATAGGCGCCCACAACCTACGCAGAGAACATGGCAGTTAATCTTAGGTTATATACATGCGTATATTTGAGGAAACGAAACCAATGCGCTGGGAAATTAAACTAACCTCATAGTTTATGACATTATCGCAAGCCCAGCCATACAGATTGGATAGGAAAGAGATGCCACCTTTAATATAGTGTTCAACGTGGGTTTTTCAACTGTGAAGGGAAATCTTATTATTATTTCCTGTTGACACTTACCTCCAAGAATGTGGCCTCCAACCCCTACATCACCAGCACGAGCCCCCACAGCTATGAGGTCGTGGACCTCCAATGCTTTATATACATCATACCATGTATTCCCTGTGCCCAGAATCGCAGTCTTTCGATCCGGCGTTACAATGATGTCGTTAATGGATCTCATGTCGAACGCCATACCATCCTGGATATTAGATGCGCCGGGAAACGGAGCATGTCCACCGCTTCTCACAGCAAATGTACAGTTGACTTGTGTGATTACGAACATGGCGAAGGACACCTGGCTCACGTTCTTGGGGTGGAAAATACACATTGGCTGGGTTTTTGACTGCTGCTGCGACCAAAAACTCGCTTGGAACTGGCGGTAATTGTCGCTCCCAGGGAACGCGACGGTGTCCGCGTATGTCTTGGACAGGTAAGTGCAAGCAAACTCACATCGACTAGGAGCGGTGTTTCTCTCGTTAAAGTTAAGGAAGATAGTTTCCGTTTCGAGGGGATCACTTTGGTGGGCTGACGGGTGACGGTGGCCGATATCTGGTATTTTGAAGGCCACCCCGTACCATCCTAGAAGAATCGAGATGAGAATAGAATAACCGCTTAACCTCATCGCTAGAAACATTGCTGATGATATCCTGCCTATTTGATAGGAAGGAAACGATACTCTGCTCCCACGAGACATCTGAGAGTTGAGAAGAAGATTTGGCAGTTGGGGCGCGCGCGAGAACGTATTTATTTCCCCTGGATTATAGAAAGCTAGGGATAACAACAGCCCAGATCGTTTCCTCAACCCGTTGGGGACCCCAACTACAGTTCGTCAGTTACAATCAGGGGATGAAACGCCCCTAGGGTTGGATTTTTCTCGTTTGGGTTATCTGAGATATACAACAAAAATAATAGCGAAAAGTCTTGAGAAGTCGCTCTTCGAGCGCGAACAAATGCATTTGATTCCATTTAAAGGGTCTGCAACGTGAGGTTGCGGGTGGTACTAAATTCCATGAAATGAAACCATCGCTGGTGCATAACACTATTAAATATCCAACGGAGTGAAACAAATTGGAAGAAAACATCCAGAATATACGTTAGACCTGAACCCGTTTGAGTAACAGTTATTTGGACGATAAACGTGTGTTATTGTAACACTGGGGCCCACGCGCTACGGAGCCAGTCGCGGAATGTCTGCGGGCTAATGTGGACTGGAGTATGCAAATTTGGATCTCCAAAGTCATAACAACCAGCTACGGTCGCCAGCAGGCAGTGCAGTCGCGATTGCTGCGGCAGATTCCCGGAAGCTTTCGCATGGGCCAGGGCATTTCCAATGGCATCGTTGGTGAGAATTGCCTTTTCAAACTCGACACCTGTCAATGATTTTCCACCATTAGTAGCTCTCAGTACGCACTAGCATTTTATAAAATAGAGCAATATGTGGGAGGGAACTCACCTCTCATGAGCTCAGCCTCGCTTACAATATCACCCAGGGTCATCCGATCGCCGCATATCCTAAACTCTGTCTCCCACTGCGGCAAATCCAGCGCGGCAACAATATACCTTGCCAAGTCCTGCGCGGACGTCATGCACACGAACACAGGCGCACCCAACGCATTGAAATACGGAACCTCAGCCTTCATCGTGCGGACATTCATCAGGTAATCCCCCTCGCCGTCTATATACGTACCGCTACCGAGTTGGAAGGTAGCCATGCCGCCTGGCGCAAAGCGTTCGTAGAAGATCCCGCAGGCGAAAACCGCGTACTGCATACCGCGCTGCGAGTAGTATTGCAAGCGGGCGAGACTAGTCAAGTTTCCGCGGTCGAGGAAGTTTGCTGCTGGGCACGAGGATGGGGGTCCTTTGAATTCGGATGGGACGAAGCGCCGGACGCGGACATGGGCGGCGGCATCGATTAGGGCTATCTCTGCTTCTCCTGATATGGTGGAGATAACAGTGTCGATGCCCGCTAGGGCATACTGGAGGCTGTTGCTATTGCTGTAGTCGACTTTCAGGACTTGCCAGCCTTTCGCTGTGAGGCCTGGGTTATTCTGGAGAGTGGGCATTAGTTTGCTGACAGGAAGGGTGTTCATGGTGGGAACATGGTTGCCGAAATATGTATATATATGGCTGCACATACATTTCGGGAAAGAAAGATAAATTGATGGCAGGTTTGTGTCGAGATGTAGTGGGCAATGTATTGGGACAGCCCACTAGTCCCAGCGATCGCTACCTTGATCATGGTCAACTATGAATGATAAGATTTATGGGGGCTAGGAATACAATATCTAGGAGGGGGCTGGTATAAATAGAAATGAGAACACAAGCGTGGCGGATGTTTTAAGTCAAATTATGCAGCATTTTTCATCTGAGTCTCCCAGGGTCCAATGTCTGTTAGGTGCATGTTTAGCCCTTACTCTTCAACTCCATGTTTGTCCTGTGATTTGACGAGGAATAGTAGGGATTTGATGTGAAATCCATACACTGATCAAGGTATATATATATATATCCCCTGATCATGTTATAAGAAAATTTGCAGAGAAGAGCGCAAGAGATACTGGGCCTCGAGGGCTAATATTGTCTAGAAAGAAAGAAAGAAACTGAGGAGAGGATATTTAACCAAGGCTCCAGCTAACCATTGTTGTTTGTCGGAATAGCATATGTGTTATTTGACCAAGAATGTCCCTAGGACACCATGATTTTCGGATTTGTATACCATGGTCCCCTCATGGATGTCCTCCCTTGCGAGCAGCCAAAAACCTTGGTTGAGCAATCCATATCCAATACAATGAGGGCAAGCCATCTTACGGTTTTGGGAGCAAAGCGTTTAAAAGCACAAGGAAAGCTAGGGTCGATAAATGGACGACCTTATTCGATTTGGTGAATGGGTTATAATGACGCTTGATATGTGACTAGCCGATGACCAATCCATGAAGGACTCAAGCGGCATATCGTGGTAGCATCGTCACATAGGGTGATTTAGGCATGGACAGGGAATGTGTGATATAGGGCTTAGGCAGCAGAGCCGCATGCAACGGCGCAAAGATGGTTTAGCCAGTCAACCCCAGGAGAGCCTGGTACACAAGATGTGATCTCATGGACTGGTGATCAGAATGGCCAATGACGCCGTTTAATGGAAATGTTGAAAACTCTCTCCCTCATGGGGTGAAATTCGAGATGCAATAAATGGCCCAAGGCAGCAATAGAGTCCGCAGAAAATTGACTCTCCCCTCTCCTCCGCAGTCGAAGCTCGGGGAGGAGAGCATGGATAGAATGCAGGACTCCGGTATATTTTCTCAAATTCCAGGTTCCCAGGCAGCGGCTGTTGGCATTGATTGCTGCCTGTCAGTTGAGTTGGGTGACCTTGATACAAGACCTGATTGATACCACCACGTGAAGCAAAGTATGTGCCGGCTAAACGCGTTTTGTAACCGCGAGATCAAGGCGAGACGGGAATCAGCTCTGTATTCAAGGGAGTGAACATTGAGTTAGTTGATGCGATTGTTCCGGACGAGCATTGAAAGCACGACTGCTCGTGGTAGAACTGTGCTTGGTCTGTTTCCGTTTCCCGTTGATGGAGTTTGCAGTCCAGAATTCCGTAGTCAGAACAAGGACTTAAAAGGGATTAGAGTACAGATCACTACCCTTTCAAGGGATTCCAGATCGTGAGAAACTACCGTTTGAAAAAGAAGTCGTGGTAGTGGTAGTGGTAGTGGTAGTGGTAGTGGTGGTCGTGGTGGCAGAAGGAAACGGGATCTTTTGGTGGTTGAACACGATTGCACGAAATAAGCGAAACCGGCCCAACCAACCCAACTCGGCAAAACTGGCTCCAGACCGGCGGATGACCGTGCATCTCCTCCGCGTCCACAGCGCGACGCGAGCTATATCGCTCCTCCACGTCTCCGCTCTCCGCTCTCCTCTCTCCTCTCTCCTCGCGCCGTGCATTTCTCTCGTCAGTTGTTTGCACGCGGGGAACCCATTCTTCCGTAGGCACATTCCACAGATGGTCAATTCTTTGCTACTGCTCCCCTCCCCATGATGTGCGATCCCGAGCAACCATCATCGGCCGGTGTCAAAGCCGCTACGGTGCCGCCGCTCAAAGCCGCTACGAATAATAACTACACTTTCCTGGTCCACTCTCACAAGTCCTTAACACAAAATCTACCTCCCAAAGTAGACAACAAGGCTCTGGCGCGGCAGAAACGTCGAAGGACGAGGTATATCCCGCCGTTCAACCTCAACTTTGCCATTAGTAGCACCTTTACTAGATCACTGCTAATTCGTGTTGTAGCCCTGATGATCAAAAGATTCTCGAAGCGGAATACCAACGAAACCCTAAACCAGACCGGGCAACGAGGGCTGATATTGTTAACAGGGTTACACTAGGCGAGAAGGAGGTTCAGGTATGGTTCGACGATATGTTGTATTTCTCTCAAGAAGAGGGGGTCTAACGCGTTCTTCCTCGGATGAAGATCTGGTTTCAAAATCGACGCCAAAATGACAGACGGCGATCCAAACCGCTCAACCAGGAAGATTTCAAAGTGCCCAAACCCTCCGGCCCAGACCAAGACGCGTCCAATGGCAATAATCCTGTTAATTCTGAGAGTCAGGCTACTCAGCCGTTAAAAACATTCCACGGAACTGATCGTCGAACCAGCACTGACACGAGACGCGCGAACCTCTCTACATCACCAGACAGCTCATTTGGGTCGGAAACGGGGGTCGAACATGAGTCGACCTTGAGTTCTCAACCACCTAACTCGCAGGCCACTGTCATCTCCCTCCAGCGAGAGGAACTGCGCGACGCCGTTGGCAAAATTGAAGGGCAAACAGGCGGGAGTAAAGAAGGGGGTGCAACATTAATAGCGGATGAACTTCACATCGAGCCCGTCAGCAGGAAACGGTCCAGGTCTCAGCCTGAGGCTGCGAACACGAACAAGTACAGTCCACCGACTTCAAGCACATTTATACCCCCTTCGCTGCGTATATCATTGTCTTTTGACGGAGAGGCAGTTGTTCGTAAGGAAGGCGAAAGCACCCCGTCCCCGCAAAAACCACTAGACGCCATTCGGATTTCCATGTCTGCTGATGGCGAAGCATTAATCAGAACTGCAAGCGAGGAATCCCCTATTATGAAAAACCGCGCCCCTCTCTTGTACAACACACGTCCTGTTGCTAGAGGACTGAGGAGGAGCATCAGCGCCTTTCCCCTCGGGGCATTGAAGGGGACAAAGGAAGGCCAAGATCCCAAGCCATTTGGGAGATCTCGCGACTCCCGTATCTGGGAACTTCATTGTGATACTGATGCCCGGACTGCATTGTTGGGGTCGAAAGGCAGTCTTTTGTCCTCCACGGCTCGGACGAGGAAACTAAGCCACCGAAAATCCGACCTGGGCCATGGTCGAAAGGCGTTGATGCCACGAACAAATCTCCCGAACGTTGTACCACTTGCGGAGGAGCCTACAGGAAAGCGGAAAAAACTATCACGGGCAATGTCCTCCTTGGCTCGTTTAGAAACTGGTCACAAAGGATTAACGTCAAAGTTGGAAGAAGGGATCACGGACTGCCACACAGGCGATTCAGACAAAGAGAATTGGATACCAGGCACACAGATGTCCGCGGCAAGACGGGTGCCTTCTAACAAACAGAAAACCCGTCGTGTAGGACTGCAGAAACCTAACCGGCTCAGCAATGGGCAAAGTGCTAGCTATCGACCAGTCGCAGGCTCTAACAAGATGCAGCAGGGACATCGAGGCGTACTTCTTCACCCCAGTCCCCATAGCACTCAAGAGGGCGGAGATGATGTAACTGGGAAGATTCATGGGCCTCCGGACGAAATATCCCAGCTCAGCCAGGATGAAGATTTGGATTGCATCCAGGGTCTGCTGTCTTTGAGCCAGGGCGCTTGGCGATAGTCGGCTATGATTGGCTAGCACGATGGAAATCTTTCCTTTTTTTTTTTTTTTTTTTTTTTGCTCATTTCTTTTTGTTTTTCTTTTTTCTTTCTTTTGGCTATATCGTATAAGTTCCCTTGGACTTTTGTTGGCGTTCTCTGGACGGCGTGGCTTAATTCTGTACGATAACGGCCATGTTATAGACGAGATTCTGGTTAATAAATAATGCTGTATTTTTATAACTATTGTTTGTCCTCCGCAGAACCAGCTTCCCGATCATGGATGACTCAGCATGGCCGATGGTAATCTTCCACTTTTGCCATGAATCAACTTTTCGCATACCAGCTTGTTTCACCAATGAAGAATAAAGGAATACTGTCCCCAGAAAATGATAATAATAATAATAATACTAAAATCAAGGCCTTCACGTCCTACAGAACCTGCTTTCTTCAGCAACACAGGTCAAAGCAAGGAGGAGTCTCCGTCGGGAGAGTGGTTTCGTACACAGCAAAGCTTATCGCTTGCTTCAGCTTGCTTACAAGCTCCGGGCGTCCTGCTGTTTGCCATCGGTTGCCGCCGGCGAGACTTTGCCCTGTTCCTGTAAGTAGTGCCCACGGATGGTTTCAAACCCGACTGGATTTGCGGTCGGCAGCTCAATATTTGGGCTACTTTCGTGCTCGCCCTGACGTCCCGTCTCCGTGCCGTCCCCACTTCCTCTGCTTCATGAGTCGTATGGACTTGCAATAATAGAGAAAATGTTCGGTTTTTTTGCAGCTGTTGCTATCTTGGAGGAAAAAAGCCCCGACTATCCAACTTGGATCATTTGTCTGCTCTGATTTTGCGTTTGCGCATTGTCCTATATGCTGTTCGCCCTGATGGTCATCTGATGTGCGCATCATGAAAGCTCTCATTGGCGGCGCCGTGGAACCCGAGCTGTTGAGGTTCTAGCCGGCTCACTTTTGCTTTGCCGTGGACGTGACGGGGCCCCCAATAAATACGGCTGCAGACTCGCCTTTCGAGCTTTGTTGCACCTGTATCTATCTTTTCCAGTCTCTGTCCACTTGTGTTTGAAAGATCCTATCACGCCGTTTGCAGACGGGGGCTGGCTCTCCAACACATGCCCATTCTGATATCTTATTAACCTTACCGCTCCTGATCCTGTACTCACAAGTTACTACTCCTACTACCATGGAATGCAGAGCTAACGGCCTAGCAAAATCCTCAAAATGGCTCCAGATATCGCCTCTAGCCTTGGATCTTCCGGTCTTCCCTAGCCTGCACTCGACTACCGGTCGGCTTAAACATAGAACAGGTTTCACCGGCCCCTCCACTATGCACAGGACCCCACACGTGGGAATAGTCGGTGCAGGCCTAGCGGGCTTGAGGTGTGCAGATGTTTTACTTGATCGTGGCTTTCGAGTAACAATCCTTGAAGCTAGGGATCGAATTGGCGGTCGCGTATGAAAATATTTTTCATAATTTTTTATGTTTTCCATTTCTTCCTGATTTCCCAGCTGGGGTTGCTGATGTACTACTGTCTGATCTTCTATTTATTTACTAGGTATGCCAAAGCGACGTTGGCGGGTTTAAGGTAGATGTGTAAGAGTGAAAGCAGTGTTTTGTTTCTCGTAATATTAATTAAACTAATGTATGCCTACAGAGGACCGAACTGGATACATGGGACACAAAACAATCCCATCCTGGATCTCAGTAACGGCTCAAAAACTATTACCCATGCATGGGGCGGTTTGCAGAATGTTATTGATACGTCTGGAGAGCCTCTTGACGAGGGTTTGGTTGGAAGGATTTCAGACTTCATATGGACGACGGTAGAAGACGCGTTTGAATATAGCCGTCTTAACAGAGACAGAATCCCTCCGGGCAAAAGCCTCTTCGATTTTATCAAGGAGCAGCTGGGAAAAGCCGAGTTTTCCGAGGTTGAGAAGGAAAAGTGCATTGAGTTGTCAAAACTTTGGGGTTCATACATTGGATCTCCCATTGATCGGCAAAGCTTGAGGTTCTTTTTTCTAGAAGAGTGTTTAGAAGGGAGTATGTCCTTCACCCCCTCCCAATACCACTATATCCTGCCAAATCGTTCGAGCTGACTCCGTCTCCCAGCCAATCTTTTCGTGGCATCCACATATAAGAAAATCGTCGACTCAGTCGCCGCCGCCGCCCTCAAACGAGCTGAAATCCACCTGAATGAACCAGTTATCAAAATTGAAGCAAACCCCCGAGTTTCTGGAACGAACCACCAAGTCAGAGTTACAACCTCAACAGGGTCCCAATATCTATTTGATGAGTTGGTCACCACATTTCCCCTAGGCTGGCTAAAACAAAACAAAACTACCTTCCAGCCGGCCCTGCCAACCCATCTCTCCAAAGCCATCGACAACATTTCATACGGCCAACTAGAAAAGGTCTACATCCACTTCCCCTCCGCCTTCTGGGAACAAGCACCGAACACAGGGCGCAGCACCAGCACAAAACACCCTCTTTCTGCCCTCCAGCAAAATCCCCAAACCTCACCTCCTGAAGTCTCCCCGTTCACCGAATTCCTCACACCCTCCTACACCAACCACCCAACCACCCCCTTCTGGAACCAACAGTGCGTCTCCCTCGCCGCCCTTCCGGGGCCCTGCGCCCACCCAACCCTCCTCTTCTACCTGTACGGCCCCTCCGCCACCGACCTCATTTCCCAAATCCACGCCCTTCCCCCCTCCTCAAAGGAATACCACGACACCATCAACACGTTCCTGCAGCCCTTCTATTCCCGCCTCCCAGGGTACGACCCCTCGTCGCTGAATTGCCACCCAACCGCCATCCTCGCCACGCAGTGGCAACGCGACCCCTGGGCGGGGAACGGCAGCTACTCGAATTTCCAGGTCGGGCTGGAGGCGGGTGATCGCGACATCGAGATCATGCGCGAGGGCATGGGTGTCGAGCGCGGGGTGTGGTTTGCGGGCGAGCATACGGCGCCGTTTGTGGGGCTGGGGACCACGTCGGGGGCGTATTGGAGTGGGGAAGCGGTTGCCGGACGCATTTGTGAGTTCCTCCTGGCTGGTGCGGCGGGTACTGGCACTGGTGCTACTACTACTGCTAGTACTACTACTAGTAGTAGTACTGGGATACGCGGGGAGCGGGGCCCTGGAGGAACGGATTTCGTATGAATGGATGAATTTTATTTTGAGTGTGGATTATGTCCAAGTTTGTATAATGGCGAATTATCCGGGGGGTGAGATCGATGGGTTAGGTGTATTTTCCTTTTCCGCACATTTGTTTTCTTTCTTTCTTATACAATTAATTACTCATGGAGTCATGGGCGATACATATACAGATCCATATTATCTCTGGCTATTTGATAGAGACCGGACGAACTAACTATATATATAATTTTAAGCATTTTTAAGAGAGCTTTGGAAAACTTTTTCTTCGCCCTCATTGGCACGAGGATTAGTAATTTAAATAGCAACATCCTACCGCGGTTGCCCTACAAGTTGTAATTCGTAGCTTATCTTTCTTTACTCTCTTCGACTCTTGCGTCGCTAAGACATGTATAGTTCTGGAGGTAGGTCGGTAACCCTTCGTGAAAATCTGGGATAACGCAGAAGTTAGATAGAGAGAGGTAGATGTAAGTCTCGTAATATTCTGTACCTGACGGTAGAAAAGAATGAGAAAAGAAAGTTACTCGGGTAGCTAAACGCCGAATCTCGTCTTCAGATTCATATTTCGCAATAAGGGGGGAAAAAAAAAATAAAATAAAAAATAAAAAAATGAACAATTAATAAATAGGACCGCAAGAACTTGAAAGACACCGTACGCCCGGCCGACTGAACCCCCGGGAAAAGCCGAGTTGGATTGGAAAAGAGGAAATGGTAAAATCGAACTCTGGGTTTCGTATGAGAGCTAAGATGTTGTAGATGGTGGAATGAGATTTCCCGTCTTTCGGAAATTTAAGTTCAGAGGTCACGTAAGACAGGAAATGTGTTGATATATGCGGCATTGGGCTTATAGAGCGGAAGAATTCACATCGAGAAATGAGAAAGAGAGAGCAAACAGAACAGGGTATCGCAAGTCCTGCTCAACCAACGCCAAGTGAACTGGTTTCCATGATGAGGTAAAGCATGACTGCAAAAATTGGACAAAGTGGTATTGTTACAAAAATGTAAATGAACAACCTGATAACAATCGAAGATGAAGGGAAATGTAGAGAAGGAAAAATGAGACGGAGAAACTGTATGGTGCTCGCATGAGGAATGCTTAAGGGGATATTGGAGCAACTACATAGCGAACGGGCTGGATCGAATGAAGAAAATTTATCACCAATCACTCCTTCAATCCTCCCAAATGGTTTCAAGATCCAGATCTTGCCTCCCCTCCGCCCCGCACACACTCCAGCGTTTCCGCTTATCTGCCCTAGTACCACCGTAGGAACCCAGTCCCCCAAATCGCGAATTACCCAACGGACTCGACGAGCCAGAAACATCAATGGCGCTCCGCCGTCGGTTGAAATCCTTGTTGGCGGCGGCGGCTGCTTCGTCGGCTCGATCTGCTGCAGCTTTCAGCATGGCAATTTGATCGGCTTCGATGGCCGCGGCTTCTGCGTCCGGGATATCTGGGATGGTCTCCAGAGATGATATACTGGGGCTGCGCGAGCGTATACTCGATGGTGTTGACGGCATTGAGGAAGTGGAGGAGAAGGAATAGGATGGGTAAGATTCGTTGAATTTCGCAGGAAATACTATTGGTGACGCTTGGGCAGAGATGGGACTGCTATTGCTTGGGTAAAGGGGTGACGATGGCCGTCGGCGAGTTGTGCGGGGAAAGGTCCCAAGAGTGCCAGGCGATAACGGCGAGTGGGAGGACACATCCAATTGCACCTTTCTCGATCTAGAGGTGTCCTGAAGCTCTGGATGTTCAGCTATGGGTTCTGATATATGTAGCGTGCTGATGCTTGGGTATAGACTGTCTTCCACCGAAACGCGGAGAGGACTTTGACGTCTCAACGACGAGTCGTGAAGACTGGGGGAAACCCCAGGGTTTCCCGTAAATGCATATCGACCACGCGAGTCCGGTCCGGGCGAGGAGTGAGCTCTGGCCATAGATGGAGCTGCTGGACTCGCCAGAGACCGGGAGCGAAGGTGTGTTTTGCTGAGGGAGGAGTAGGGTTTAGGGATGAGATTTAGAGTTGGCTGCATTATCAAGTGCGTCATCTTCGCGGGAGCGGCTGTGCTAGCACCGTTACGGACATCCGCTCCTGTTTCTCTGCTTTTGAATGTTGACGGAACTGTGCAGGTCGTAGTGGGCTCTTCCGCGTATTCATCTGCACACTCCGGAGGACTGGGAGGAAGCATGATGTCCTCTGGAGCCAGCAGATAAGAAGACATGATACTTTGAGGGGGAAATATAACGAGCGAGACGAAGCAACCGGTGATTAGGAGGATCGCCGTGAGCCAAAAGTTGCACACCACGAATGCATGCTCGATGTAAATAAGTGAAGACCGGCTAGTGGGATCGGGCACCACGAATTAAACGGCAAAATCTCAACAACGCCCACGATCCTCAAACATTCGCCCGTTTGTAGTTTTTTCAAGTCTACGTCTTCGGTATTTGCCAGCAGCCGGCTGGGTATTCAAGATGGTGTCCTTAAGCAGATGGGAGGCGAGGATGAGGGTAGGAGGAGGAGGAAGACCACAGAGAGGGAGTGGTGATGAGTGAGACTCGAGGAGAGGGCCACCAACCAAACCAACTGGCATGCAAGATGATCACGTCCGGTGGCCAGCCATGAAAGCGCGAACAAGGGACGCACGCGGATGAGCAGCAGACCAAGAACAGGACGGGCGAGAGGGTTGCCTTGCTCGTCTCTAGCAAGTCTCTAGGATAAAAGGAGGATGTTGGTTTGGCGAGGAGAGCAATATTAATAAGACCCGCGGCTGACACAGCGGTACGGTAACGCCCAGGTAACCCATCGGTACAGGCCTGGGCGGCCGGTTGGTGTTGGCTGCATCAATTGGCTGGCCGCATCGTGTAAGGTATGGTAAGATCAGATCCCCCGGCAGTCACCTGATGCTGGTCCTTATCCTGTGATCTTGATCGATCCTGATCTTTTGACGATGATCAGCTTCATATTGCTGCTTCACTCCCCGTCTGCTTGCGAATACTACTCCTTGTTTGCAATAAGTTGGTCTGGCGCATCTATGAGGCACCACGACCAGCAGGAACTTACCCATCATGGATTACCAGTATGCATGGGCATCCATTTCTTATCCCTGGTTCTCGCTATACAGCACGCACGGCCACACCCATCGAATCCCTCCTCTCCACAAGACAATTAATCATCCAGAAGTTCTGGCCTGCCTCGATGGTCTACAAGATCCCGCTTCCTACGTGGGACGTTCCCTACCCAATAAACGGGGGCTTTTATGCTGACTCGGCTCTTTGTGTCCACCTCGTCTTCTACAGCATAGAACATCCAATATGTGCAGTACATACATACCTGCAAGGCTGCCAATCCCACTGCATCTCTGACTGGCTGTGAAATCGGGTTGATCAACTATATGGACCAGAATTAAAAAGCTAAAATTGCTTAGACTTCGAGTTATTATTGTGCGCAAATATATTCGGTTAAACGGAATTGAGGAAAGAAGTTTTGGATTTCCGAACCCTTCCCCGCCAACAATGACAATCAAAATTACGGACAAAAAATGCCGCGCCAACACAAATAAGCCCGGCAAAGCTCAAGCAAAGGGAAGGGAGAACAGCAATGCTGAAACTCGTTTTTTCCGGGGAGGTAAAATAATGAGACCGGGAAATGACGATCAGACAACAAGCAATGCTTGCTGGTCCTGGTGCTGGTGCTTCTGAACGCGCTTATAGCAAATTTCCGATTTTTCGGAAGGAATATGAGACATAGAGCTATTTATATACCCTTGCGCATCATTTATCGAAACAGCCCATCATTAAACTCTCTACTACGCGTACATCGGGCCAATGTGGACTTTTTCATTTTAATGCGCTCTTATGCTAACTGCGTGCAGAGTTTCATTCACGATACCTTTTTTCCATCCCAAGACTTCCCGACTGTTAGATCAAATGAGAATATCATTGATGTTTCCAGTGGCGAGTACCATAGCGATGGAATTCATCTATTTTCGATAAGGTTTTCCCCTGCGTAGACATTTCGGCGATGAACAATGTTTTCAACGAAGCCTGGACATCATGGATCCTCCACCCGATTACCCGCATTTGACGCCCGGACGGATCTACCCGCCCTTGGTCAATCTGACTACTGCAGATCTAACTTTGTGCGGAAAAGAAACCAAAAAAGAAAATAGAGAGAGAGGAAGGAAATCTACAAACGGGTGCAGTGGTTGAACTACGAATATTTTCCTTTTATTGAACAGCTCGAAGGCTTCTGGCTTGTTTGGGACAATACTGCTCTGTTCCAAATGAACAACGGCCTGGCGAGGAAGTGAAAAAGCAGTGACACCGTTCGACAATATGTCCCGGGTCGGTTTTGAACTTGACATGCGTCAGTTCTCGTCGGCGTTGGAACCAGAGTTACATCGGCATCCGCAAAGCAGACGAGCTGGCTGATCCCGTTTGTTGCTTCTCAGGATATCGCTTTATGCGCTAGCCTCGGGGTTCTCCTGAGGGAATGCTGGCGACGTGTACCCTTGAGGCCGGGGATGCACTGTGGTTGGAGGTCTATTTGATACAGGAAGGGGATGGAAGGGGCAGATGGATAAACTTGGTCCATCCGGATAGGAAACACTCTTAGACGAGTAATGAACTTAACATTCATTTCATTTATACTCGGTATGCAGCTAGTAATGTTTATGGCCGGCCACACTGGAAGAACGCCTAAATGTTGCCATGATAGGGAAATCATTTACGGACTAGTGTGCTTCAACGTAAGTCGCACTAAGGAGAAGCACATTGAGCAATATGGTGATGAGGATACATATGTAGCATACGAAATCATCTTGACTGTGCCTTAGAGCCCAGTGTTCGGTACATCTTAATTCCCCACATCAATTCCCAATCGAATAGGCTGCTGTATCAGACTACTATGTATTCCACAGACTTGATCTAGGTGTATCGCGGAGTCCATATTTGTCCATCTAGATCTCGTGGCGGGTCGGCGCGTCTATTGCCGGGCTGGCGCCAACCGCAACTTTATCTCGCGATTTGGCGTTTTTAAACCTCCCACATCACGCACTCTGGGGCAAATCCGACGTCAACATGCGACGAACATGCCCACGACGTGACGTCAAGTACCATTCACCCTTGTATGATGTCAGGGCCTGTTGCTCTGCATTCAAAGTATGCGATTAAGATTACCGTCGTCATTGGGCGGCTCCCCCTCTCCGCTTCTCCCTGCCGAGAAGGCGCAAAACAAGCCCTCTTGCAACCAACCATAAATGGCCTCCCAGTGCAATCATCGCAGACTTTTCACCATGTGTCACGGACACCAGATTTGTACAAAAGCTCAGCCACCTTGATGGCTACTGCGCGGGGAATGAACTCTTCTATGCTACATACGACGAGTCGCGAGGCCGGGATTGCGCAACCAGCGCCAGCTTCTCAAGTCCCGCTTGATACCATTGAAGAGACTCTGGCATACTCGTCACTCTCCAATGCACCATTCGATATCGAAACGTCACTTGCTGGAGTCCTCGACCCAGAAGCTGATGTCGATATCCCTGCTGACATAAAGGACGTCAAGGAGGCGGTATCGCGACCACCGCCGGTTAACAGCAACTACCTACCCCTTCCATGGAAAGGCCGATTGGGATATGTAAGTTAACCATATATATTTTTTTAACTATAAAAAAAAAAAAAAAAAAGCTACTTAGTTTAGAGCCAATCCCAGGCCTGCCTAAACACATACTTGCGCACCTCCAACCCGCCCGTCTTCTGCGCTCGCACCTGTCGCATCTCCTCAATCCTCGAAAACCGCCATCCGCTCCAAGACCCCACCCAGCCGGCCCACCGGATCAAAAACCGCCCCGATCTCCAGCAGCCGCCTGATATTGAGCGTGGGCTAGCATATGTGCAGTCACTGGGTCTCGCGAATGCACGCGATATTGTGAAAATTCTCCGCTGGAATGAGCGCTATGGGATTAAATTTATGCGGCTTTCGAGCGAGATGTTTCCCTTCGCAAGTCATGTGGAGCATGGGTATAGATTGGAGCCTTTCGCATCTGATGTTCTGGCGGAGGCGGGGAGAGTTGCGGCCGAGTTGGGCCACCGGTTGACTGTTCATCCGGGTCAGGTGCGATATCTCTGTTCCCCACATGTTCTTTCTTCTCAAAGTGTATTGACATTGATTGTTGAAAAATAAAAAGTTTACGCAATTATCTTCGCCGCGACCAAGTGTTACCGAAAACTCCGTCCGAGATCTTGAATATCATGCTGAGATGTTACGGTTATTGAAACTGCCTCCTCAGCAGGACCGGGATGCCGTGATGATTTTACATATGGGCGGTGTCTTTGGTGACAAGCAAGCTACCCTTGATCGTTTCCGGAAGACTTACAGGACGCTATCGGGTGAGATCAAGAATCGCCTCGTTTTGGAGAACGACGATGTGAGCTGGACTGTGCACGACCTGTTGCCCATCTGCGAGGAGTTGAATATCCCTCTTGTGCTCGACTACCACCACCACAATATCAATTTCGCTGCAGACAAGGTCCGCGAGGGGACCCTGGATATCATGACCCTCTACGACCGTATCGCCGCTACTTGGGCCAGAAAGGGAATCACGCAGAAAATGCATTATTCTGAGCAAACGCCGTCCGCTATAACACAAAAGCAGCGACGAAAACATAGCTCGCGCGTCCAGATGCTTCCCCCCTGTGATCCCACTATGGATCTCATGATTGAGGCTAAGGATAAAGAACAGGCTGTCTTTGAACTTATGAGGATCTATAAACTTCCAGGCTTTGAGAAAATTAACGACATTATACCCTTCACGCGCTCCGATGATAATAAATTTCGGGGTTGCAGTAAGAAGAAGACGAAAAAGACGACAACAACAGTGAAGAAGTCGTCCTCCTCGCCCTCTAAGCAGCAAGATCCTGTTGCATCAGATCATAACAATGATGTTGGTGATAGCGACGACACCACCTCGACGCTTATTCCGGAAGAAGAAGTTGGCATGGGTGGACCAGAAGGCCGTGTCTACTGGCCCCCCGGCATGGACCAGTGGTTGCAGCCGGCCAAACGTGCGTCCAAAGTTGATATTGCGGAGACTATCGTGGCTCAAAGTAGTAGCGGCACCAGCGCACTGCTTACTTCGACCCCGACGACGCCGCGGAAAAGGGGAAGACCGAGCAAAAGTAAAGATGCTGCGGCGGCTGCAAAGTCCATCGCAGGGAAACTCGCAGCGTCGAAACGGCCGAGGCCTGGAAAGATAGCTACGTTATCCTCTAGCGGTAGCGGCAGCGATAGCGATAGCAACCAGAATGAAATCGCTGTTGGCCCAGCTGCTACGGAAAAGGAGGCTCCGGCTACCTGTGTTTCGGGAAGAACTAGGGGGAGGAAGGTAAATTATGCGGAAGAGGGGTCTGCCTGACATCCTGGATTCCGCGGATGGGTTCTATGCTTGCGTTGGGGCGTTGGGAGTAGTAATAAAGAAGGGACTTGAACATCAAAAGGCCAATGACGAAATGGAAGGCGTTAAACGGAGTATATGCGGGGGCAAAGAAGGTAGTTTTGTATAAAAGTAATAAAAAATTTGGAGTACGCAGGAGAGGTCTCCATTCCTATCTTGTTAATATAGATCCCAACCCTGCCGCCCACCCTAGTTTATCAACTCCATTCCTCCATTTCATACCCTATATCCGTCTGTGCACTCCATAGTATCAAAGCTTATTCCTCCATCTAAGCGTCTACCTTCTAACGGCCCGTCGCGGCCGCATGTCAAGACGGCCACGAGGGCTAAAATCAGAAGCTAAGTCTGCAAGCCAAACTGTGCTAGATATATAATTGACTTTATCGCCAGCCGTACGGAGTACTGGTAACTATTCTTGTGGGGATTCTATCGTAAGTTCGTAGGCTAGCCACCGCGATCTTGTGAACAATGCGACAGCTTTCTATACGGCCATTCTGAGTGGTTGTGCCTTTAACCAATCCAACTCCTAAGCAGTGTTGTTCATGCTGTGCTATGCTTTGTTGGCGGTAATGATTAAATCCAAGGGCCTTGCGGTTGACTTCATCCCCACCATGTCTCATAAGCCCATTGAATTTTTCTCGATGCTCCAAAGGGAAAATCCGATGAATGGTATTAGGGAATATGTTCTGTGATTCCTACTCCAATAAATCCTCATCAGCTTCCAAGATGACTTGTCCGAGTATTGCATGGATGCACTGGTCAGTTAACCAGGTGAAAACGGAGAACAAGGCTCCAAAACAGTACACAAATATCCGCAGACGAAGCTTTTCCAGAGCCATTTGCTTGTGGAGATAGCAGGGACCAGCAGCTCCACAACCAAAGGCAATGGTCCGCATTTATTTTCGGCCGGAAAAACTCTCGTTGGGACATTGCAGGACGTCGAATCAGTTCCATATACTCCGTAGTTTTTCTATTTTTATAACTTATCTGGTTATTTTTAATTTTACTCCGCTCAACTTTAAAGAATTCCCCTTGTCATTTGCGAAGGCCAGAGCGCCCCAACGCCGCTGAATAAATACATAGTAACTAACCAAACCATCCTATCCAAACATCCAACATTCAACATCCAACATCCAACATCCAACATCCAACAGCGCACGTCACGAAGTACTTACAAGCACCGAAATTAATCCTTATTAACTCTAAACACTTCCTCGAAACGTACCCGCGTGCTGGCTCGCCCACCTTCTACCCGTCCGCCACCTCGCTCCCTCCTCCGACTCCGTACCACCCTTAACTACCTCCGCTTTATCCTCCCGCACACTCGCCAACGTCTTCGAACCAGATTCACAGACTTTCGCCACGATATCCTCCCGACCTTCCGACGGCAGATACATTTACGCATCTATCGGGCAATTGTCGACAGGCAGCGTGCGAAACATCGACCATACCCCCGTCAATCCAGGTACCACTGTGCATCTGTCCCTGTTGCTATTACTGCAGGCAATAGAAGGCAGACTGGATTACTATCGTATTTGTTTTCCAAAGCAAGGAGTAGGAAAGGTCTCAAGTTTCCGTATAGAATTAGAGGGACAACCGCGAGTCATTCTCACTTCACATTTGATTATCAGAGACGTAGCTCTGTACTAGGCGCCGTTGCCAGGCGCTTGAAAGATGCAGGAAGTTCTGGCCAGATGAAAACATCTCAGTCAGGGTCTTTGGGCCGGTACGGGACAGATTCTACAAATTCTACATATGATTATGGATCCGGACAAGATGGTGGCGGTCGCGAGCGGGGAACACGCAGGAGGAAAGTTTATGGGTATTTGAAAGCGGCGAACGAGCTGCGGCAGGCCTATTCAGCTCAGTGGGCGCAGAAGACTCAGGATTATGATTACGATATACGCGACACTCCAGGTGGATTCCCAGAGCTCGGGACAATGAAACTTGCGGATGAGGAAATGGTTTTATTCCCCAGTTACGCGAAGAGACATGTGAGGAAGGATCCTAAGGTGGATTATAGGGAATTGGCGCTGGAATCGCGGACTTACCCTGATGATCCGCAGTCGATGGGGAATATGGAGTTTTGGAGAACGGAGTGGGAGAGATATGAGCATGATAATGCGATTGTGGATGTCGATGTGAAAGGGTGGATATATACGCCTCACATTGAGCCGATGAGTCGGAAAAATCGTATTCTGATTGCCCTTGCTCGACGGCTGAGTGGGATACCGGCTCCACATACAGTGTCTACAGAGAACAGGCCATCGTCGGCTTCCTTGAATGAGGAAGCAGTTGTCGATAAACAAGAGCAATCTATTATTCGTTTGGCCGAGAGTAACGCGGACCCTGAGTGGCAGGCTAACGCTAGGCTGGAAGGGATATTTTCCAGACCCGAGGCCGAACAAAGTTCATCTTATAACAGTCCAGAGGAGATAGCCGCTGGGAACGCCAGACTTCTGGAACGGCTTCAACCGTTTTTGGCACATCCTACTGTCAGCGTTCCGATTACGGTTTTCTTTTATGACCAAAAGAACAGCCAGTCAAGGACGGTTTCGACGAATGATGGAGGCCACTTCTCTGTTCGTGCCGCCCTCGATTTTGTCCCCACCCACATCAGGGTGCTGGCTTCAGAGAATTTATCCGCTTCGGAAGAGGTTACGATCACCGAATCAACGGGAATTAGTTTGATCAGTGACATTGATGATACCATTAAGCACTCCGCAATTACAAGCGGCACGAGAGAGATCTTCCGAAATACATTCGTTCGCAACCTTGAAGACCTTACCGTGCTGGGCGTGAAAGAATGGTATTCAAAATTAACTGAGATGGGTGTGAAGATCCATTACGTTTCGAATTCCCCATGGCAACTGTATCCCTTACTTCAGAAATTTTTTAGGGTGGCCGGTCTACCACCCGGATCGTTTCATTTGAAACAGTACTCAGGGATGCTTCAAGGTATCTTCGAACCTGCAGCGGAGAAAAAGAGGCCGACATTAGAAAGCATCATGCTTGACTTTCCCAACCGCAGGTTCATCCTTGTAGGCGATAGTGGAGAGGCAGACCTGGAAGTCTATACAGAATTAGCACTTGCTAATCCAGGTAGAATACTCGCGATATTCATTAGAGATGTGACAACGTCCCCGTCCCATAACTTTTTCGATACATCGGTTACCCAATTTGAAAGGCCGCCGGCTCGAACTCCCACACATGGGCCTCCCCCTCCAGAACGTTTGGGAGATCAGGAAACGCTCCCACCCATTTTGCCACCCCGCAACTATCCTAATCGGGGAGCTTCGGGTGATGTTGATTTAAGTGCTGGAGAAGAGCTTTCAGGGATGGATAACAAGGAACCTTCTAATGGTACATCTGAAAGTCGGCAACTACCTCCCATAAGGCCTTACAAACCTGCTGTTCTTCGTAGCGGGGCTGTCGAAGGATACAGAGACAACAATGTGGACACTGTGTCGTCCAGCATTCGACGGAAGCCAGCGCCACCCCTCCCAGCAAAGCCCATAAGGTTATCCTCTTCACAACCGCAGGGACAGACTGAACGCCCTACTCTGCCCATCCGTTCAACACAAACGTTAGCTCACACAGGCCCGCGAGTGATTAGCCGTTTCTCAACCAACGAACCCCCGGTCAATAATGATAGTAATAATAGAAACGAGGAGAGCTACACATCTACTGTCCCAGATAAGGCTGCAAATATGTACGATCAGCTCCCGTCAGCACGACCGCAATGGGAGAATATTTCCACCACGGCCGCCGCCACCCACACGCCTTCGTCAACTCATCAAACCTCATCCTCACGTCCAACAACCAAAGAACCACCCCCACCAGTCCCCCCACCCCGGCGTAGTACAACCCAATCCCTTATAAAACAAACCTCTTCAATGAACCGAACTGCCCAGAATCCCTCGGGCGCCGCTCAGGATCTGCGAATGAGTAACACAACGCTCTCCCAACCCCCGTCTTCCTCCACCGTATCAACCACCCCGCCGCGTCTTGCACGCTCAACCACCAATATACCCTCACAACTATCCCAACCGTCGTCCTCCCCTTCCCCATACCCAAACTCGTCGACACCCACCTCTTCAGTTACACCTGGTCCCGGGGCCGCAGCAGCGCCAATGACGTTCAATAAACGCGAGGACATGTGGAAGCGGCGCTGGGCACGGGCGAAGGAGATTTTGGACAGGCAGGGGGTTTTGCTGATGACTTGGCGGGCTGGGGATGATGTCCATGATGTTTGCGTTGGGTTGGTGGAGAGCGCGGAACGTGAAGGGAGAGCGGGAGGGAGCGTTGAGGTGAGGTAGGGTGTAGCTGGGATGGGATATTTGTTGGGCAGTTTAGTTATTGTTGTATTTATAGAGAAATATCGTGGGCTGGATAATATAGAATCGTTTAGATATCGCTGGTGACGGAATACAGATTTTTGTTCGTTTTGAAAAAAAAAGGCTCAACTTCTTAAAAGGTCCATTACATCTACTGCGTATGCTAAGGTCACTATGGCCGTCGGCGTAATCACAATGGAAAGTATCATAAATAACAAAATGTTATTTATATTTTTTTCTTTGATTTTTTTCTTTTGCCTTTTTTTGGGTTTTCGTTGGTATCTAGACTAAAAATACATATTTCTTCGTCAAACAACCACACCATTTAATAATAGCAGGTTAGAATCAAGCAAAGGCAAACAAAATATAAGTACAAATAACGGCTGTGGATCTCGCATACTTTCAACCATTCTCTCTTGTCCCAGCCCCTGCCCTTCCAATGGGCTTGGAGAGACAGGGAAGCAAGAGACGTGTTGCATAAGTATAAAAGAGGATGGGTAATGGCCACAATAGATCGCAACTTGTAAAACAAAAAAGAAAACATGCGTACATGCGTGCATTCGTGCGTGCGTACATGCATACAAAAAATGGACTTGCTTTTGGAGCGCACCACCGATAACTGAGACAGATAAGATCAGGATCGATGGGCAATATGAACCGTGATAAGGAACAGGAATGGGATTAAGGATAGGGAGCCCGAATAAAACCAGAGCAGAAAATATAGGCACAAGAACTGGACGTGAACAAAAACAGGAAGCTGAACAAATTCATATCAATCTGGTGTCACTTCCAATTTATCAATTTAGGAGGAAGTGGGGGAGGGAAAAGTAGCAGCAATAGAATGACATAAAGCAAATATAAAAGGAAACAACAAAAATAAAAATGTGAAAAGGGTGAAAAATAAAGTAGCAGAAAAGCAGAAATTAAAAAAAAAAAAAAACAAAATCGATTAGGCAGGTATGGAATTTCTTTCTCTCTTCTCTTCTCTTCTCTTTTCTTTTCTGTTCTTTTCTTTTCTAGATGAATAGACTTAAACAGTGCTAGTCTCCACCTTAGTCATTAACTCTTCTCGGACTACAGCTTCAGGTGAAGCCAAGCCCATGCGGGTAGCAAAGGTCTCGTGGGGTTCCCACTTGCTGCTTTTCTTGGGGCTGCTCTCGTCGAAAAGGCGATCAACTTGCTCGAGTGACAACCCCTTTGTCTCGTAGACGAAGAAATAGGAAAAGAGCATGGAGAGAGTGCAGGTTGTGCCCCAGATGAAAAAGACTTTGGAGCCCAGATTTGCCTTCTCGGAGTCGACGAGATAGGGAGTGATAAGGGCGAGGATCTGAGTGTTTAGGGTTAGTTTTGCTTTGGTCGTTTAATGTGTGCGGCTGCGGTGTGTGTTTTACGTTGGGAGAAACGGTTGGATGGGGGAGAGGATGAAAGGATTGAAATGGCACTTACATAGTTCCAAAGCCAGTTAGACGCAGTGGAAAGAGCGACGCCTCGTGCGCGGATGGGAAGAGGGAATATCTCTCCGATTAACACCCACGCTCCTGGTCCCCAGGTGGAAGCAAATCCGCAGATGTAGAGGCAGACGAAAACGATCAGGCACATCGAAGCTGCGTTCGAGCCTGGGAGAGCTGTCCCAACAGCGGCAATGATGAATTCACAAACAAGCATGGCCATTGCTCCGTAGATAAGGAGGCTTCGACGGCCGAAGCGTTCGATAATGTAAAACGAGGCCGGGGTGGATGCAACATTGACAACGTTGGTGATGATTGAAATCAAGAAGGGGTTTTGCAGCCCGCTTTGCTGGAAGAAGGTGGTTCCTGTCAGAGACTGTTAGTTTATCATGCGAGCTTTTCTAGTTTTCCATTGGTTTAGAGGGCATACCGTAGTCTGTAATTGGGAAGATGTGTCAGAATTTCTGTTCAGATTCATTGATAGCATAACAGGGACGTAAAACTTACAGAAAATAAAGTTAACCCCAGTTAGCTGCTGGAACATCTGTAACGCAGTGCCCAGGATTACGCGACGGAGATTTCCACTGGGAGAAAGACCGCCTTTGAAACAGTCGAGCCAACTGGTGCTCCTGACTCTAGACTCGTATTCAAAGTTGGCGATAATTTCAGCTAGCTCTGTTTTCACGTAGTCTGAGTCGACATGTTGTCCACGGATGCGAGAGAGAGAACCGGCAGCTGCGTCCAGCCTACTTTTTTTAACATAGTAACGCGGGGATTCTGGGAGAAAATAGAGGCCCAGACCAAGGATAAGTGACCAAACAAGCTGGATTGCAATAGGAATGCGGTAGGATGCAGATGTGTCAAGCTTTTCTGTTGCTTTGCTGACACAGGCGGAGATGAGGAGACCAATAGTGATAGCCCACTGATAGACGGATACCATGGCACCTCGAAACCTCTTAGGAGCAATTTCAGAGACGTACAGGATCACGACAGAAGATATGCCGCCAACCCCAAGTCCAGCAACTAGCCGCCCGCCAACGAGATCATTAACTTTGCTTGCGCCAACCTGGATTGCCACGCCAACTGAAAACAACAAGCTGGAGAGCATAATGGTATAGCGGCGACCGAGGATCTCAGCTATCGAGCCGGAAACAAGAGCTCCCACAAACGTTCCAAGGGAGAGGACAGACACAATAAGAGACTTTTGCCAGGTTGCAATGTTGAATCCAGTCTGGTCAATATCCAGGGACACTGGATGGCCAAAGGCTTGCTTGAAAAAGGCCATGCCGAGGACTCCGTTGATGTAACCGGAGTCATAACCGAAGAGAATACCTCCAAAAGACGCGAATGCGCACAGAATATATGCACGGGCTGTCATGGGAGCCTCGACGCGGTTCACGTCAGAGGTCCATGTAAGCTCATTTGAAGCCATGATATCAAGCAGCGCTGGAAACTAGCCGTCAGCAACGGATAGAGGATGGATATACTTACCAATATGGCCAACAACAAAAAGTTTACAGGAAAAGCACAACAACTACGGCGGAGAGGGAGGAGAAAAAAGGGCAGATACGAAGAACTCACCTCCGGATATATTTCTGAAGTTTGCGGTTAGCTATACGAACGCGAAATTTTTCGTGGTATGAAGCGATGGTAAAACTTGTATTAAACGATAGAGACGTTTATAACGAAAGGGAGCTGATCGAAGGAAGTATTGCGAGACGTTGCGAGGTGGTAAGGAGTTGGAGGAAACGAGGGAACTGACGGAGTTTTTAAGCAGAACGCAGGACATACTGTAGTGGGTGAGCGGTAGGACTGCGCACATCGCGCACCAGCCAACGCACTCGGTAGGCCATTTCAGAGTTTAGAAAGTTTCCGCACATTCCTCAACATTGCTTTTATTCTGAGTTCAAGCCAGCCACTGGGTGGGAGAATGACGGTGACAAGAGAGTGCAGAATTCGGCTTAGAAAGAATGTGATTCCTAGCTAGGTAGACAGTAGAACATCTGCAGCAAATACTGGAGCCCAAAGTCTGGTAACTCCCCATCTGGTGCATTAGGGCAAACTCATTCCCTGGGCAACCCATGTTTCCCTTTGGGATGCGCGCTGTCGGACGAAAACTTGCTAACGTTTACCAAAGTCAAGAATCTTACTATGGCAACTAGATCGACGACCTATATCAACGACAAGCGTAAATAGAATACGCAGCAAAGTCCCAGAGATCTCGAAGAGGCTAACGACGGGCTCGGACGGACTTCTATGCGCGTTCCATTTTAAAATTTCATATTTTTGTCTTCACCCCTTTTCAGTCCCGCATACAGCAGCGAACTAATCGAGAGTAATTGGTTTCATATCCATTGGCTCCGGAAATCAGATTCCCCTCTGCGCCACAGAAAAGAGCAAGTATAGTTCATCAGTATTCCGGATATGCCAGTCCTGCAAAGGCTTCCGCCTGCTTTTCGACACGTGCATATCTCCTTTGGCCAAGCACCAGCTCATATGATTTCTTTTGCTCCCTTCTCAGGGGTTCTAGGCAACTACCCACAGTCTAGGCACAGCAACAACTGACAGAGTGACGAACGCACTCGAGTGGGGAGAGAGGTAGATAGTCAATAACGTCACAGATCTTTAGTTTGAGCTCTGAGTTTTGGCCTAGAGCGGCAGCTCTAGCTCCAGCACATAGCAAAGACGGGTGCTCTACCGCCGCTTTCCTAAAAAGAAAACAAAAACACAAAAAAGATTAAAATCGAAAATAAAAATACTAGTAACAGAAGCAGAGAAAAGAATGGGCAGAATACTAAAAAAGATAATTGACGTCGATTTAACCTTCGCCTGGTTGCTGGGATCCAAACTCTAAGCGGCGCTGATCCTCGCTCCACCGTTATTTAGCCGCCAGACTAACTTAGTTATCCGCGGTTTAAGCGCCCGAACGTTTATTTTGGCGTCATTGGTCTGTATCGTCAAGGTATTGTGTCGGTAAATTACAGCACCTGACAAAGTTTCGCTTTACTTTCCAATTTGGTCAGTTCTACATAACATTTTCTACAGTTTCCGCTTGCGTCTCGGCCGGCAATAAGGCTCTGTTGGAAGACTTAACTTACTAGGTAGGTTTATGAGCTATATCGCAAAGTGGAATTTGTGACCACCTTCTAAAACACTTGATATAACTTAATACAGGCATCTCAACCCTCTCACTATTCTGAACACAGCACGAGGGGTAGAATTAGGGGAATAATAGCTATAGGTTAGAGCACTAGATTAGAAATCTAGGGCCAGTTAGAATGGTTAGGCTCTGAAAAACATACCTTTCTTATCAAGCTAAAGAGAGAACTATTGTGGATTATGTAGAGATCATGTGACATAACCTGACTTTGAACTGGACATGAAATTGGAGAAGCAAAAAACATGCGTCCGCAGTTGAGCGCATCCGCCCACGGCCAGCTTGTTTGAAAGGTACGGAAGAAACACGTGCAGATGGCGTGCTTGATTAACGGACCTTCATCAAAATAGTACTTGTTGCATTATGTGTGGCCTAGACCCAACCGTTCCTCACATCTGCTATCTGCGAGAGTGGACGATGTCAAGATTGGTAAAGGAAAAACAATATCTTTACATAACTGACTAGCTAACAAACATCTTTCCTGCGGAATACAATAGAATAGCCAATTCCTCTTCTCCCCCTTTCTTTTCCATGCAAGCGGTTCCTCTCAACACCCTATGTACCTCTGACATATATCCAGAAGATAATCGAATAGAATAACAGCCAGAAACATATAACGTTACACAAAATCAGCCGGTCCTAGTATATATTTGTCTTCTCTTCTCTTCTTCTCTTCTTCTGTTCTGTTTTCATTTGTTCTCTTTCTTTTCTTTCCATATTTTTTTTTTTTTTTTTTTTTTTTTTTTGAAAACATTTTTGCTTTTTGTTAGGTTTTTTTTACCCTTTATATTCCGTTCGTGCGAGATCAATTTTGAATTCTCGATGACATGGCCGACAAAAATCTATATTTTCTCCCTTTTAAGTCAGAGACGGACTTTCCACGTTCGCTATTAACGTACATGTACAGTGGGGAGGGAATGAGAAGAAAATGAAGGAATACTAACCATCCAGTCGGTTGCTTGTTCCTTGGTTTCATCAGCCAGCCTTGTAAGCTATTGCACGACCATCAATTCCTCGTCAATGACATCGACGGATCCTCCGGCTCCTAAACCTTTTCGTTTCCGTCGTCTCCCGCCCTCTTATTTCCCTCACCACCGCTGGAGTGGATGTCCGGTTTAAGGTTTGGTGTGCCCTGCTGGGTTGAGCTTAAATCGATAGAGGACTGATTTTTGCCATGGAGGCTTAGTAAATTATAATTAACACGGCCGACCCTCTCAATCTTCTCACCGAAATTCTCAGAAAACCCCTCTCCCAGATCAGGATGAACTGTGTCGCGCCGGCTCGAACTAGGCTCTGTGTGCGACAAAGTTTCCTCAAGAAGCCCTGGGAAATTATCATGGTCAATCTGCTCCATCAGCTCACGGAAGCCCTTATCCATATCAACCTGAATTTCACCCATTGAAACAGTAACTGGTTGCTCTTGTTGCATTGTTGCCGCCACTCTACTGGCCAAGGCATCAGGCGTGCTATGAAATGGCATACTCTGCCCTGAAGAAGTGGAGGTTAGAGGATCCTCAGTCCCCTCCATCTCCTCCTCCTTGGCGCTGTCCCAACCAGCAAAAAATTGCCATAAGAGGTCGTCTAATGAGTCGGGAGGTAAAAGAAGATTGTTGGTATCCCTCGTCATTCCCTTCACGTTAGGAGCAATGCCCATACCATGGGTTGGTGCTACGGGAACGCGAACAGGCATTCCAATTGCGGTTGGAGCTGGTGCGGGTGGATGTCCAGATTCTTTCAAAACGGGTGAGCCTGGATGCGCCCCACTATTGCCACCCTGTGGCATGACCGGATGTATAGGTATTCCATTCTCGTGGTTGACGTTCACGGATGGAGTCAAGCTGTTGATCTGTTGTAGTGCTGAGGACGCACTTGCGGACATTTCAACAGATGTGGGTGCCATCTGGCATCCATTCGGCTGCAAGCCAAGTGGGACTGGCGGCACACCCCCAACCCTACTAATGTTCCCGATGACTGGAGTTATACCAGGCACCATAGGGGCCTGGAACCCTCCATTCCACCACAACCCCGGCGGTGGGGGTGGGCAAGGAGAATTACCAGTGCCAACCTTCCCCCCCCGTGGTTTACGCGGTTGCCCACGCTTCTGAGCTACATTTTTTCTGTCACCGCGATTATTCACCACGAACCTCATGCTGTTCTCCTTCTGTGGGTTGGAGGGTAGTTGTTGAATTTGAGCATGAGCTGGAGACGGTCTGTTTCCATGGGTGTGTTCGTTTCCGCTCACGTTTACGTTCCAATTAGCCGGAGCAGGATGGCTTGGAGCCGGACATCCAAAAATAGCCGGATAAGTGAATGTACCTCCTGCACCCGCAGTTAGCGCATAGGGACCTGGCGGGATCCCAAACTTGGGACGTTGAACGGAGTGCACGTCGAGAATATGTACAGGGGCGTCTTGATATGGAGGAATGGTTGGGGCTGGAACTGAGGCTGGCCACTGCGCTGTAGGCACTCTTGTATCTATTCCATGAGTCTCACAACTGCCCCCTATGTCTATTTTCGGATATGGGCTACGGTATGGGACGCCAACTTGCGCAGCAGCCGAATTGCCGTTTGGACAAGGACCTGGGGTCGGATTATGGGCCACGCGATTCAGGAAACTATGATTGCTTGGATTTGCATGCTGGCCAGTGTATGTATTTCCCGTATTTTCAATGTCTTGATTATTGACCGGCTGAACACCACCGTTAACTTGCTTGCCATTGTGGAAATCGGGCTCAGTTGCATTTGGTCGAGGTCCGGCACCCATTCCGTTAGGATGCTGAACACCAGAGCTAATTTCATTCGATTTTGGCGGCATGATAAATCCGCCATTTGAAGGATTTGAATGAGACATAGTTTCAGAGGAAAAAACCCTTCCAGGCGCATGAGCACCAGAGGGGGGAAATTGTGAGTTTTGGGATCCCGCGTGAACCTCTGGCTGGTATGCAGGCGTACCCAAATTAGCGACAGCGGGATCGAAGGTTGGTGCACTGTGGTAAGGGACTGAAGGTTGATCGAATGCAGGAGTATTAACCGCGCCTATTTTGGTAACTGGGTTTCCCTGTGATATTCCCTGGTTAGGTTGATAAACGTCAATTCGGTACATGTCGTTGGTTGGTGGACGAGGTGCAGTCCCCATGTCTCCAGGACAAATAGGTTGAATTTGAGAGAGGGATAACCCGAAACGGTGATCAGACAGTGGGGAGTTTTGGCCAATATGTGGGTGCAGATGATGGTTTCCAATGCCGTCATTTGTTGCCCGCGAGTTAGGGATAGGAGGGATAGGATGCCCTCCATTCATTGGTGGGACATCATTGGACTGAAGGCGGGGCGGGATAATTATCCCGTTTTCTACTGGAAGATGCTGTGCATGCGGATGAGGCGGTGACAGATATTGTCGAGGAAGCTCAGGAAACTTTTCATAGGGACGTTGAGCCTCTCCGCTCTGGTATGTAACCATGTTGTTATCCTGTTCAGGGCGGTTGGGTGCATGGAACATCTCATTGTGATAATTCCCTTGCATTTGGGGAGGAATTCCAGGATCCCCTTCATGAAGAAGTTGAGCTGTTCCATTTTGTTGTGCAACCATATTAGTACTCTGGTTATTTTGGCCGGGCACATTCCAGGTTGTATTGTGATGAGTGTCGGGCATTCGTCCATGAAAATTGCAGCCGTTGCCGTTGCCGTTGCCGTTGCTATTGATGTCGTTATTGCTGTGCGTATGCCCATTGCCGTTGCTGACCGGTTGTTGGACCCCGAATGAAGGATACATGGGCGGAAGATTCTGCATGTCACCCTGGCTATTCTGCAAATGGTGAAGCCCTTGCATCTCTGTATGCACATTGTTGGGCATTGCGGGATGTGGACAAGCGGCCACCCTGCTACCGTTACTATGGCATTTGATACCCGGCATACCATTGGTGGAATCATCGTTAGAGGTGGACGGGTTGTTGAAGGAGTAGGGGCCAGGGTTAGTGTTCAGCTGGACGAGGCCGCTGTTTGCCGCAATATCGTGTGGAACGATCTGATGATCGCCGTTGGAAGGCCTTTGAGGCCTGGCACCTGGTGTCCCTGGCCAAGTGTATGATGTGCCAGCCATATTGTCGTACGCTTCGATACTCCACGGGCTGTGGTCTGGCTGGGAAGTTTGATGTTTTTGTGACATATTGACACTAAGATTTTATTGTCTGTGTGCAGTATAGGGTTTTTTTGACGCGGCAAATACTTGTTAAATATGGGACAGAGAGCAGTTGCCGAGTAAGTGATAGATTGGCAGACAACTCGTTTATTGATGTTGGCTGATAGATGACGGATAAAGCACTATATATTGGAGCTTTCCTTAAGTAGGTGCAGGATGAGAGCCACTTGTGGACACACGATCGTAAGTTATCTTGAAGAATTCGTTTGCCTGACTATATAAGGAGATAGCGAAAGATGCTAATGTGTGGGTGAAAATAATGGATGTCTAGATTTCAAAGATCTAGATGATGTTAAAGATGGTTTCTTTTCTGTTGCATTCAAAGAATGATGTGTGTCAGAAATCCCAGAGAAGACAAGGGAATCAAGATAGTCGGGTTTACCATGCGAACGAAAGCGGTTGTGATGGCGGGGAAAGGAGGAGGGGGAAGAGGCATAGGAGGTCAAAGAGGCGAGGAGAAGGGAGGAGCGGGGGACGCCACCGCAGTCCCCCAGCAGAGTCAGCGCAATACTGCAGACAAAGTCTAAATTCCAGGGAATCGCCCTGTCCCTTCGATATACTAGTTGAATGCTCGTTCAGAGGACGATTGTGCATATACCCTTTTGAACACGTCGGCTGAGAGCTGAAGCTGTACATCTACTGTATATTACAGGTTTCATTTAATACAGTGGAAACACACCACAATGATCCATTATTTACTACGATTTACTATTTTACGATTTGCTATTTACTACGAACTCAGGATATCATTTGATATATTACACTGTTTCTACAATTAGCTGGTGTGATTAGCGTTTCGCTGGGATGTCCAGGAGAATTCACCATTGTATGGAAGTACATATCTCCCAATGGAAACCTAAGAAGAGGCTTGGTTACGAGCAGGAAGCGGTATCTTCAAGCTGTAAAAGCAATAACGAACCCTTCGATATTCTCAATATCAACACCCATATAGGTTTATCAATAATGTCGTCATGCTCAAACTAAGAATTTTCTGGAGCGTTTAAATTGACGCAAGCCAAGACCCTGCGGCGCTTGTTGAACCTAATCACTTATAAGCTCTGTATCACCCACCGTCGGTATGGTACAGTACCTTGTATCTAAAAATTACGGACAGCTCTCCACTAGGTGATTGATGTCAATACTCTCAGCAGTTAGATCGCTTTTCCACACCCACACTTCTAGACTTATATTATCTATATTTAATTGAAAACAAAGAGGATAGTTCATTGTTTTCCGACAGTTTTGTATTCGTCTATCAGGCTGATGACCATTGTCCTTATGTGTACTGAAAAAAGCTTCAAGCAACGGCATATTCCTCGGATAAAGAATACAGATACTGTTCAAGGAACAAAAGAAATCAATGTGACTGTTTCCCACCGTGTCAATCAAATTCGGGATTATCAATTATCGCTACCATCTCAGGGAGTTAATAATGGGCCATCTGCATTACATAGGACCGCAATATCTACTCAATAAGATCAACAATTATGAGGGGTTTTAATGATTGTGGGAGGTTCGAAGGGGAGTTATATGAATTACCGCAATACTAGTAGGTACGAACATGTATGTATATGGAGTGTGAGATCCCTCCAGGATTCTCAGAAAGAACAGTGAATTCAAAGCGTAGATAAATATGTTTTTGGAGCTGCGAGTGCCTAATTAGTCATCATCATAAATAACTAGACTAACTAGTGTGGGATTAGAGCGACTATTACGTCATATGGTGGTGACCTGGGAAGATCTTAGCAACAAATAAATCAAAAACGACCCTCATCTGTATATCACTCCATCCTTAGAAGTTCTCTTCCACAATCAATGTCAGCTTATTCGTGTCATTTATCATGGATGCCTCCAGCACTACTAGCGGAGCTGAACGGGCACTATCGTCGCGTAGTATCCTCAGTCGTGCCGCGGCGAGTATTGGCAATGATGCCGACGTGTTACTGAAGGATCCCTGGGAAGCCATAGCGCTGATCGGACATGCCTGTATGGCTGCTGTTTCTTTCAGATTAATCGGCCTGGATGAAAGTCACAGAATAGGTTTGTTGCCCTCATTATTTTTTTTTTTTTTCTCCTTAGCCCCTACCTATTCTGAGGAGCCAACTTAACTAAAACCGCCCGCGATAGAATCTCAGGAACCCTCATCGCCATTACCCAAGGAGTGGAATGCGAACTCCACATATGCCTTCACATATTCACACCCACAATCATCTATGCAGTTCTTGTTAAAAATCAGCCGACTCGGTGACAACGCAGTCATCTACGCGCTGGCCTTGGGGCATGACAAAACCACATCTTTCGATATACAGGTCAAAGACTACGTCTCCGAATCGTCTCTCCCATTGACAAAATCTACTGAGGAACTTACTCAGTTGCTCGAACAAGTGTTTATTTCTCTGTCGCGGCTTAGTGATTTTATCACTCTGTTTAAAATCAATGTAATCCAGAAACTTGCGCCGGGTCTGCAAAAGGAGAGCTATGAAGATGACTCCTCCCTCAGTCGAGAACGGCAACAGGGAGAGGGGTACGTGCACGAACTAGGGCCACCATTGCGGCAACCACGGCAGCCGACAAGTGATCCTTTATCGGCCCCCCCACGTCGATCGCCGGTCCCAGCAGGTGATTTCCCTCCTCCTGGTTTTGAAGATGAGTACGAAATAAATGTTCCTCCTCGCGGGTTCCACCCGCAGGGAACAAGCCACGAGCCAAGGCGACCGAATATTGGAGAGCGGGACCTATACCCTCCTGGTTTCGGGCCTCATGATCCACTGATACCTCACTTTGGACCGCAGGGCGGGGGCGGGGGCGGAGGCATGCATCCAACCTTTGACGATCCTATGTTTCAGCGTGTGGGTAGTAGGGGTGGTGGTGATGAATACGATCCCCAGGTTCCTCCTGGCGCAAGGTATGACCCTGTTGGGCCGGGGGATGGACCACCGATGGGACGTGGTCGCGGGCACCACGGGTTTCCTGGGGCTCGTGGTGGGTTTGGAGGGGGATTTGGGGGTCCGTTTGGTGGTGATATTATTTAAGGATATTATGCTTGGATATAGCGTGCTACATTACTGTGTGATGGCTCAATGAATAATGGTTTTTACTGAAATTTGTCTTCCTCTTTGAGCCGAATTTGTATATCCCATGTATGTGCTGTCCGTAAAGGAAATATAAAATTGATAGGTGAAATAATCACGGTCTGGAACCTCTCAATAAACAAAATAATACTAGAACTATGTACTGTACATGTGGCGCAGCGCCAACTCTCAAGTGGCTGGTGCACTTCTAACTGTGGCTTGACTTGACTAACCAACCCTCTCCAACACAACAGAAGGAAGACCAAAGGAACGTAGTTATCAACGTCTGTCTCAACAGCTAGAACTCTACCCGCTTCTCTCTCTCTGTAACAAAGCATTGCTACGACTTGACCGCCTCTCTTTCATCATTTGTTGATACCCATTGCCTCAGCTTTTGCCCTCTCCTCTGTTCCCTTCTCCCCACGCACGCGCTCAGCCTCGTCTAGCTTGTAACTTACGCCCCTCCATCCACCACAGCATTGTCTCTTCCCGCCCCCGTCCCTTTCTTCACCTAATGGACAACAAAATGGAAATCGACTCAGGACGATCGCCCGAACCTCACCACCTTTCCCCTGTGTCCGACCCGGAATCAATACCGACCCTGGATGGCTGGATTGAGAGCCTTATGACCTGCAAGCAGCTGGCAGAGCAAGATGTACAGAGACTGTGTGATAGGGTGAGTTTCTATAACATTTTCTGGCGAGAACTCAAAGAAGAACAGAAGTATTAGGGCATAAGGATCGCTGGCCATAATCTGCGTCAGCTTTTGCGTGCGCTTTATGGGGTTAAAGTTAACGATGAGTTTTCCTATTTATACAGGCAAGAGAGGTACTACAAGAGGAGTCGAACGTTCAGCCAGTGGTATGTATCCCTCCGCCTTTCCTATCTCTGGCGAAGCTTGCGTTTTTATCCTACCAGTGGTGCAATGTTCCGTGTGCTGATCATCTGATTGCTCCCACAGAAATGCCCAGTGACGGTATGCGGAGATATACACGGCCAGTTCCATGATCTCATGGAACTGTTCCGTATCGGCGGTCCCAACCCCGATACCAATTATCTCTTCATGGGTAAGAATGGCACGCTTGCGTTTCATTTCTTCATTTTCACATCGGGGTTCCTAACCTACAATTACTACCTGAAGGTGATTATGTCGACCGTGGCTACTATTCCGTTGAGACCGTGACTCTCCTCGTCGCTCTGAAGATCCGTTATCCGCAACGCATCACCATCCTCCGCGGCAACCACGAATCGCGTCAGATCACCCAAGTGTACGGTTTTTACGACGAGTGTCTGCGGAAATACGGTAACGCGAATGTCTGGAAATACTTCACTGATCTCTTTGACTTCCTGCCCCTCACCGCTCTCATCGACAACCAGATATTCTGTCTCCACGGAGGTTTGAGTCCGTCCATCGACACCCTGGACAATATCCGCTCGCTAGATCGGATCCAGGAAGTGCCCCATGAAGGACCGATGTGTGATTTGCTCTGGAGTGACCCAGATGATAGGTGTGGATGGGGGATTTCGCCGCGTGGTGCTGGTTATACCTTTGGGCAGGATATTTCGGAGGCGTTTAATCATAACAACGGATTGACCCTGGTTGCAAGAGCCCATCAATTAGTGATGGAGGGATATAACTGGTCGCAAGATCGTAATGTGGTGACGATATTCTCAGGTGAAACTCTCTCTCCGTCCTCCATCGTTCTGCAACTTGGGACTACATACTAACTCTTTCTGCCATACACCTACGTGTGATCAACAGCTCCAAATTACTGTTATCGTTGCGGAAATCAAGCTGCCATTATGGAAATCGATGAGCTTCTCAAATATACCTTGTAAGCCTGATCTCAGCCCATAATTCTACCTTCCATTCCATAGCTCCCGTTCCTGCTTTTTACTGACCACATTATCTTTAATCTTTCTCCCTGCTCTCCAGCCTCCAATTCGACCCTTGCCCACGCGCCGGCGAACCCATGGTCTCCCGCCGCACACCCGATTACTTCCTCTAGATAGAACATGTTCTCATCAAACGCAACGGTGAACGCACTACGTGTTTATTCCTCGAATTTATATACTTATCGTCTTTTGTTCGCTCCTTTCCTCTCGTTTTATTTTCCATTTTTGGCCTTTTGGAAGGGGGGGGGATAAAATCCCCCAAAAACCCCCAAAAAAAAATTTATCCCCCCCCCCCCCCCCCCCCCCCCCCCCCCTTCTTTTTTTTTCTTGTTTACATTTTGGTCCCTGTGCCGTTTGTTGCCTCTTTCCATCTGTTGCAATTCAAACAGGTTTCTACCTTATTCTTCCTCAATCTCAACATGGCAGGAGGATAAATCCCCATCCGTGGTCCTGGATCGGGATGGGAGCGGTATAGAGGTGTCAATCAAAAGAATGTGGATCGGAATCGAACGCAACGAGGTGAAGAAAGTGAAATGAACGGCGTACAGGGTTATGAGTTCGAGTACAGGTCAAATATGACGATATCTGTTATAGAAAGCTTGCGCTTTTCTGGTTTTCTTTCTCTCATTTTCACTCCTTTTCTCCTTTCTTGTTTGTGAGGAGGAGAATGGGGGAGTTTTCTTTCTTATTTTTCCACACTTGTTTTGAAAAGGGGTGCAGACATATGGGAGCCAAGCACTACGTAGATGTTGCATTTGGTGTCAGGGGGGAAAGGGGAAGTGGGTGTGTTAGTCGGCCCCAGTTGCAGCTTTCAACCATGCTTAACTCTGCGAAGCATTTCCTTACAAGTTCTAATACACTCATCACCAGTCTCACCTTCTCTTCTTTTCGCCACGCTCAACAGGGGGTTTGGGATGAGGTGACGGGATTAAACTAGAAGGTTCGGATTGATAAATCATAGGAAAATAATTCACCAACACCCCCCGACCCGGCCCACACACACTCTTCCCCTTCTTCCTTTTGGACGATAGCAGCAAGAGATTAAAAATATTGCTGGTATTTGTATAGCCTTAATGAAACTTGACACTAACATAAATCTCGGAGTATTTTGAACCCCGGTTAATGCCGAGTATTAAATAGTTTCGGAACGATGCGATGATGTCCGGATATTTACCCAAATGCTGAATATCAAAAGAATATCGAATTGACTATTACAACTCTGATAATGACATGATAAACGGAAGTAACGTACTTCACGGTCACTTTGTACCCCCACGGGAAAACTAAATTTTAAGCATTTCGGAATACATCACTTTTGATTTTTTCATGTTCTTTTTCCGCGCAACACGCGACATCGATTACCCCGTTTCAAAAAAAGCTCCTATGCTTCCCAACAATTTTGTTCAAGAACCGTTGCCATAGTGAGAAATCACGTTGTCCCACCTCTTCTGATATTTGAACTCCATCTGTAATTACGACGCAATGACACAACCTGATCGAACAAGCAAATGATGAATACGGAGCAAAAAAGAAAAAAGAAAAAAGAAAAAGGGAAGTTTACCTGTTTCTATATATTTGATTTCGTTCACCCTCCTACTTCCTCGAACAGGTCAAATCATATGTCCAAGCTTTGAGCGTACTCAAGAAGCTCCCAAAGAGAACAACACCCGTCACACGCACCCCTGCTAAAGTACAAATTACCGTCCCCCAGCCATCCCAAGCCCGCTCCACGCAGCGATTTAAAAAGCCCATAGATGCGCGGAAAGCTGCCTTTGCCCTTTGCTGGCATCCCTTTCACGCCAACACACGTAGCCACCAATCCGATCCAGATACGAGAGGATTATGATGACGGTATCCAAATCCAGCGAGAC